TTTATTTATTTATTTATACAAGCACTGGTCACAGTCAGAAGCACAGGAGGGTGAGAGAATCCACCAGAGCCAGAGCGGGGAGCAGAGCAGGCAGAATTACCGAGGCACACTGCTGAGGGGAGCAGCGGGCGGCAGGAGAGGTCTGCGCGACATGTGGGACCCTCCTCTGGTGGCTGGGGAGCAGCCAGGGATCGAACCGGCGCTGCAGAGGCCGTGGGCAGCTTCGCAACCCAGCGCTCAACCGCTGCGCCACTGGGAGGCCCAAAGTAGACTTATTTTTATGATCTCTTTAGTCTGAAGTTATGTCTTTTTGCTGTCCTCTGTGCATAGTGATGTTAATAGTAGTTTATTTTTTAGATGTCTTTGTCTGGAAAAATTAGAAAGTTGGAAACCTTATTTTCATCTCCAAATTAAAAAATGAATTGTTGGTCTATAAAATCAGGAAATATTGGGACTGCTGTTGCCTGGGCTTTTGGGAGAGGACCGTGAAGCAGTGACACCCCAGTAGCCATAAACATACCTAGCCAGGTCTTGGTTTCCAATCCCATTCTTAAAAAAAAAATAAGAAGAAGAAGAAGAAGAAAAAGAAGAAAGAGAAAGGAAGAAAGGGGCCAGGCACTTCCTGGAGAAATGGCTGATTCTAGGATTAGGGAAAGAAATACATGAAATGAGCCTGGATCATTTTATAGTACCAGAAGTTATGAAAGTACCCAATAAAAATATAATTATGGGAGTATAATTAAGGGACACAGGAGCAGTTGAAAGAATTTCCAATGGTCAAAGCTGAAACAAATTGAGAAAAAAATAAAATAGTATTGGATTATAGCCTTTAGTAGAAAATAAATATTCATGAGATAGTACTGATATAAATAAATGCTTGAGTAAGTAAATGAGGGAGAATAGGTGAATCTCCTTCTGGAGAATTCTCAATGATTTTTGTAGCTATTCTGCCCTCAAGGGGGTAGAGCATTATTCTAAGTATAGAATAATGAGTACAGTATGGAAATTGAGAAAAAAGTAACTTTATATTGGGGAAACACAACAGATGCTTCCCCAGGTGCTCAAGATTAGGATCAGTGGTGATGGGTTATGTGGATGGTATGTAGCCTTGAAATGCTGTGATGAAAATGACACTTCATTTCTTTGGTTTTCCTCCCTCCAGTATAATCATAAGAAAGCATCAGAGACATCTCATTTGGGGACATTCTGCTAATACCTAACCAGTACTCCTCAAAACTGACAAGATTTTTAAAAACAAAGAAAGTCTGAGAAATTGTCACGGCCAAGAGGTGCTTAAGGAGACATGACAGCTAAATGTAAGGAGATATCTTGGAATTGGATCCTGGAATGGGAAAAAAAGACATTAGGTAAAAACCAAAGAAATTGGAAGAAAGTATGGATTTTAGTTAATATGTTAATATCAGTTCATTAATTGTGACAAATATGTCATACTAATATAAGATGCTAATAATGGATACTGGGTGTGGGATGTATGGGAATTCTATATGATTTTCACGAAGTTTTTGGTAAATTTAAAACTTTTCTAAAGTAAGTTTATTGTAAAGGCATGCATTCTAGATTCTAGGGAGGATATCTTAAATCACATTAGCACTACTTGAAAATTTAGGCATACCCTGGGGACATATGGAGAGTGGAGTGCTCCCAGCTGACTTTAAAATTATCAAAGTGCTCTGAGGTTATGTCTGGTCTCACGTACAAACTATTATAGAGTAAACAAGTAAATTTTATTTATGTTTAACAAGAAGATTGAACTGAAAAATAATTGCTTTTCTTCCTGTTTGGAGACAAACAATTTCTTTTTGGTGTAAGTGACACTTCCATTCCTTAGTAAGAATTTGTTTAGTTGCATATTTTTGTAACTGTCATCCTCAGATGATGCCTGTTCTTCCTCAGAGAAATTGATTTTGCTTTGGGTAGTAGGTAAAGGTTTAGAGAAGGTCAATGAAATGCAGGAATCTTTCTTCTGGGAGTCCATATGATTCAATTTTGTTTAAGCCAAAGAGCATTTATGAACTCCCTCTATGCGTAAGCATACACTGGGCTCAAGTCATCTGCTTTACTTCAGCTTTCTACCCTTGGAAGTAAACATGTCTTTATTGGATCCATATTGGCGTGTTTATATTTGATAGTTGGCCTGGGCTTTATAAAAACATGCACTTTGGGGGCCTCCCTGGTTGCACATGGGTTAAAGTCTTAGCACAATCAAGTTATCGCCAGCTACTACAGCATGAGTTCGATCCCCAGCCAGGGAGCTAACCCACATGGCGCAGCAAACCTCTCCTATCTTGCCTGCTGTTCCTCTATTTCAGTAGATCTGCCTGTTCTGCTCCCAACTCTGTCTCTGGTGACTCCATTCACCTCCTCCTGCTCCCCATACCCCTGGCCTACACCGCAGTTCTTATATGCATAAATAAATTTTTAAAAATCTTAAAAAAAAAAACAAAGCATGCAGTTTTACAAGGAACTCCTTCTAGGACAGAATACCTTTGCCTGAAGGAATAGATCCATATTGTTGGAGCCAGGAAGGGCGGTGTGAAGTACATTTCTGAATAGGGAAATCCTTTGCATGACATTGAAATGTAATCATACGACTTGTCTATATGTCTTGTTTGAAGACTGACTGGATTGTAGATCTGAACTGCGGTGGTTCCTTATAGTTTTCTAATTTCTCTTGGTTCAATGGAGAATAAAGAGAATTTGACTAAGGAGAAGGAGACTTCTACACCAGATGCTGTTTCTAGCTTTTTGTGATGTTGGCTTTCGTTTTTGTAGGCTATGGAAAAGATTTAAGAAGAACTTATATCTTTCTGACTTTTACATTTTTTGACCAGATGAATTGGACTAAGTAAGTCTTTGTTGAGGTTGGTATCTACAACAATGAGGGGTTAGGTTCTTCAGGGGTCCTCTTACTTGCTTATTATTGTAAGTGGATTTAAGAAGGATTCTTGGAATTAGAACAGTAGTTCTGAGTTGTTTTCTTATTTCACCACTGTTGTTTTTGGCAAGTGACAGATTTCAAGCTTGCGTATTTAATAGTTTACATTTCTATATTGTCATTTTTAAGAGATGCAAAGTTGGGCCTCCCCGGTGGCACAGCAGTTGAGCACTGGGTTGCGAAGTTGCCCGCAGATTCTGCAACGCCGGTTCGATCCCCGGCCACCGGGCGAGGGTTCCACATGGTGCGCAGACCTCTCCTGCCACCTGCTGCTCCCCTCAGCAGTGTATATCATCGGTCTACCTGTTCTGTTCCCCGCTCTGGCTCTTGTGAATTCTCTCACCCTCCCATGCTTCTGACTATACCCAGTGCTTGTATAAATAAAATAAAATAAAATCTTTAAAAAAAAAAAAAAGAGATGCAAAGTAGAGTAAGGAAAGGAGTATGGTTTCTGCAGACATTCTAGTCTGGGATTAAATCTTACCTTTACCACTTAACCAGACCCATGACCTCAGACAAGTGATTTAACTGCTCTGAAATTAAAAATTTCTAATTAACAAAGACATGTCAGTAATAATTCTTCTCAGGAAAGGTGTGGTGATTAAATGAGGCAACATGTGAAAATGGTGGTTATTTACTAGGTACAGAATAAATGTAAGTGACATATCTTTCACCAGTATGTTTGCAAATGATATTTGGGCTGTGGAGAGTGTACATGGTTAAATGGAGTATATCTTCTTTTCCCTTCCTCCTCCTGAGTAGGATAAATACCTCTCTAAATTAATAGTAGATGATGATAGTATCTTAATGTATAGTATATGCCCACAGACTGTGAGATCTATTGGCAGATAAGATTATTTTTCAGCTAACACATATAAAAGGAAAACTACTTCTTAGGCTCTTTCCCCCGTTTTCTTCCTTCCTCCATGAAAACTGGATGAAGTTAATAATGTTTAAGAACTGACAAACCAGAGGTTTAAATTCATAGACCTTGGGGTCAGGCATATTTTGAATGAGTGACATAGACTGGATGTGAAAGAAAGCCAATAATATTACAAGATCCATAGGAAATTACACCCTTACTTTGGCATAAAGGTGCAATAGAGAGTGGTGAGGAATGTGGTAAAGTGGAAAGAGTGTAGCCCATTTAAAGGTGATATCTACTCCTCAGTATTAGATGATTATTGCTATAAGGGAATAGTTTTTCTATCTCCAGATAGTCTCGTTTTTCAGAGGAAACCCAGAAATATAAAAGTGTGAAATGTCTTGAATTTTAATTCTTTTCAATTTAGCCAATTTTTAAGATAATACTCTATGGGCCAGTTAATAAAGACTATGCCAATAGGTTATAGCCTCTGAGATAAAAGAATCATGGAACTGTGGGGTTACTGGTGAGGGAAAGACGATATTAGTGGTGTAAGGGAGGGATGAACTACAGAGAGGAGAAAGCTAGAGAAACAGGATAGACAAGCTATCCTGATTCTCCAGCTCCCTCTGAACTCTGAAGTAGATTAGAATGTAGGACCTAAATCCCAAGTAAAGTACTGGTTTATGTGTTATACTTGACAACTTAAAATAAAACCATTTGAATCAAGAACAGTCCCATATAGTCATGTATGTACTATTGGGTTTACATATGTTTGTTTTTCAAGCACCAAAGTTGTCTCTCTTATATTTGCAAACAACAGATTAAGTTGACCTCTAAACAACGTGTGGGTTAGGAGTATGACCCCTGCATAGTTGAAAATTCTCACATAACATTTGACTCCCTAAAACCTTAGCTATAGTTCTCCTCTGGTATCCTTATGAATTGGTTTCAGGATGCCCTCCTCCCCACACTACCATCTCCATGTCAAAATCTACAGATGCGCAAGGCCCTTTTAGCTAGTCCTGTGTTTGTGTCTGTGGATTCAGCTAACCTGTGTCCGATGGTTAGTTGAATCTGTGAATAAAGAACTCATGGATAGAAAAAAATCCATGTGTAAGTGAAACTAGTAGTTCAAACATTCTTGTTCAAGGGTGAAATGTGTAATACATATGTAGATAAGAGAGCAAAGAAATTTTCTAAATGCTTTTATTTTTTTTCATCACAAAAATTTCTGCACCTTTCGGGCTCTTCTTGCTGGAAAAAGGAGAGCTAGTGAAACATTTGCTAATGGCACTTTAAAAATGTGTGTTTTATAGAGGTAATAATGTACTTTTTAGGATATGTTAATAATAAATTAAGGTTATAACGGTTGCTATTAAGAGAAAATAATGAGCAGATTAGTCTCAGCAAAAAAAAAAATATTAGTTTTGGAAGTGGGTAACTGAGGGATATCAAAACTAAAAAAAAATTAGCTTCATACAACATTCTACTATATGCATTTCTTATGAATAACATTCAATTACAGAACATAATACCTTACACAAGATCTGACATATAGTAGATAGTCAGAAAACATTTGTTAAATTTTATTGCTTTTAACACAGTAGTTTCTTCAGTAATAATTTCTGTAACTCAGATAAAAATAGAAATTTAAAAGAAAATTTTTGTTTTCTTATGAAAGTATATTCTTTAGAGAAAATACCAGCAGCAGGAGAGAAAATTGTGTGCTATATTCTAAAAAGTGATTCCAAATGAAATTTTTCAGAGATGAATACTTTGACCCTCTCTGTATTTTCAGTCTCTAATGACAATCTGTTGTCAATATTCTGAGCCTCATTCTTTTTCTCTATTTATTTTGGATTTCTAGAGTTAGGTCTCAAGTCATGGGAATCTCTATTGCCTTCAGTTGCTAAACCTTTCCCTTTTTTGTTCCTGCCTGACTTAGGTGGACATGCCAGATGGTATAAGTATTTCCTTTTCATAGCTGAAGAAAGAATCTGGCTGTGGAGTTGGGAAGGAAAACCTGGGTTCTGGCAATTTCTTGGCTCTCAACTCACCTTTTCTCAGTAGGCCTAGAAATCTCTTTGCACATGTGTTCTGAAGCTGTCTTAGGTCTTTGAACTTTGCAAAGCTCTTTTCTCCCAGTGGGATATCTTTAGGACAAAACTAGACTAGAAGTACTGTGGGATGCTTTGGAGAGGGAAGGGTTAGACCCATTAAGGATTGTAGTAAAAGGAGTGGAATTCCATTTGGTGAATTCCTGAAGGTAGCCCTGAGCTGATTCCAGTTAGGAGCCAAGGCTGGATTTCCTTGTTTGGTTCTATAGTCCTTTTAGTTTCCCCATCTGGGGCCAGTATATGTAGCAGGAAAGAAATCAGCCTCAGATGTGTCCTCTCATTTCTTTCTCACCTAAACTTCAGCTTCCAGGCATCGAACTGTAGTTTTGGGTGTACTCTTGATTTCTTCTGGCTTTTTATCATTTTTCTTTGATTCCTCGTTAGGGTTGCTATCATCAGTCTTCTCCTCCTTCACAACTTTGGTTTCAATCATTTCCTTCTGCTGATTCTTGTTTTTAAAAGGGAAGGCCGTCACATACCTGTAGTCATAAACATAAAATTAAAGTGAAAAACTTCTTTGTAGCACGTATAACTAGATAACACTATATTTGTGATGCCACATTTTGGTACAGTACATTGGGAGCTTTACTACAGAACTCCACACAACTTTATTTCATGCACGCTCAAATGCATGAATACATCCTCACATTAATGGATTCATTTAGATGGTACAGAAAGTTCATAGACCAAACTTTTGGCTGACCTTACAATCCTCCCAACAAAGCAAAGACTAAAAAAATCAAATAAAGCATGTACATCTTTGTTTCTTGATTTTCAAAGGGCAACCATTGATCTATAGTTAAAAGCTGAATGAAATATACTCAATGACATGCTGAAATCATGGGAAAGACTGTGTGGTAAGGAAGAGTGGTGAGATGAGGGAGAACATTATAGTCTACAAGGACTCTCATCTCCATTCTGACCAAGAAAATGCCAATACCAACCAAAAAAACACAAGATAGAGATAGGACAAAGATGACAAGGCTAATCCAACAAGCCCACCTTTTGACGTAGCAAACTGCAAGACCAGCTGCAGCAGCAAAGAAGAGGAGTGCAAGCACCAGGAGGGTCGTGGGAACACCTGGAGGAAACAGAGACAAGGCCTGTTGGTGCTTCCCTTAGACATTGTGCACTACACAGCAAGTTTAACAGTTCACCTTTGCACATGATTGGCTCAAAAGAATATGGGAAAAAAGCCTTCTCTGTGACTTCACAGAAGCTGCTTATGATGTTGGAACCACCTCTGCTGCTTTGCTTCTTTTCTACAGAATCACTGGCCTTGCCCGACTGTAGTAAGTTACAGTATGTCTGTCACAATCCATTTCCTCTCTGTGGCCTTGAGATAAGTTTGGAGTTAATTAAGTGTAATAGCCTTACTTTTATATAGGAAAACAAACTTTCTAATCATAGGCATTTAAGGTATGTATTTTAAAAAGAACTAGATTTTTTTAAAGAAAATTTTTTTATTTAATATATAATTTACATCATCCTTCATTTTTGTACAATGTGTGCTTTCTCCTCTCAGGTATAGTCCTGTGAAATTCCCACCACCAATTCACTCATACGCTATCACCATAGTCCCTTATCCTCTTCCCACCTCTGTTTTGATCCTTCTCCCTCCTCCTCCCCTGCAGAATGTCTCTGATTTATAGTTGCCTGTTGTTTTTGATTTTTAAGTTATTATAATTACTTTTTTCCCTGATCCCTTATTTGGTTCCTCTATATTCCTCCTATGAGTGAAACCATCCGATGTTTTTCAAAAAGAACTAGATATTAATAGATATAATTTATAGTAAGTCATCACTTAATGTCATCAGTTTCTTGGAACTACAACTAAGAGAAAGGACATCTAACACAACCAATTTTACTGCATGTTAATTGACATAAATAAGAGTTAAGTTCCTATGGCATATTTCTGGTCTTAAAAAACCATCAAATTTCTGAATAAAGTCCCAGATTCTTCTAATATTAAATAATAATTTGCATTCATTCATTCATTTTTTAATCTGTTTATTCCCATGCAACGTTGCTGGTCACTGGAGCCTATTCTGGCAGCTCAGGATACAAAGAGAGACCCAACTCCAGACAGAATACCCTTTCATTGCAGGGTACACACGCACACAGATTGGGACAATTTAGATATGCCAGTGAACCTAACATACATATGCTTGGGATATGGTAGGAAACCAAAGTACCCAGAGAAAACCCACTCTGACATGGGGAGAAACCTGCAAACTACACAGACAGTGGCTCTAGCAGGGAACCGGTTGCTTTCCTCATCAACATTATAACAAAGTGACATTGAATGAAATGAGGCTATTAGAGAAGCTGCTGTATTTTTTAATGTCTTTGAGTTTTAAAAGGGAAGCTCTTTTAGCATTTTTAATGTTTCTTTTGAGCCTTCAAGTTCCATAATTTTATAAAAGTTGAGTTTGCATTAAGCTTTTATTTGTATTTGACAGGTCCTGAGCACCAAATCTGGAGCTAGGAAAATTTCTTTCTTTCTATTTTTTAAAGATTTATTTATTTATACAAGCACTGGGGTACAGGCCAGAGGTGTGGGAGGGTGAGAGAATCCACCAGAGACAGAGCACGGAGTGGAACAGGCAGAAGGACCGAAATACACTGCTGAGGGGAGCAGCGGGCGAGACAGGAGAGGTCCGCTGTGCCAGTGGGGAGGCCAGAGCTAGGAAAATTTCTGTGTTTTCTGTTACACACATACAGAGAGCTCTTACCTCCAAACCCATCAGTTTTATGCTTGACTCCTTGATTTTCAATATCTGATTCTGTGTCAGCAGATATGGTAGTAGTTTCCATTAAAACTTCTGTTATACAAATTACTTTTCTTTTCCGTGGAGCGGAAGTAGAAGCCAGAGTAGGATTAGGGGTAGAAGAAGGAGTTTGTCTGGTAGAGTAAGGTCCATCCGTAGATGATGTGACATATGTGCTGTCACTGACAGTCATTTCTGTTGCATATGTTGCAGTTTGAGTGTCAAGTATGGGATCTTGGGTGGTGGTAATTTCTGGATAACATGAGTTAATCCACGTATCTGTTGGCAGAGGGGAAAAATAACAAGTTGAATGATCTTACAAAAGTGCAAATTGTCCTTCCCTAAAGTCCTTCAGTGACCACCTCTACTCTATGGCCTATAAGGTCCTTCATGATCTGGCCGCAGTTAACAAGGTTCCCTTCATCTGATCAGTGTTTTTCTCAATCTTCCTGCTATACTGAAATTATTTCAGTTCTTTGAGATGCTTTTTCCCACACCAATACCTTTGACCAGTATGCTTTCTTCACCTGTAAGACTCTATCTCCTCGTTATTTAGCTAACTCTTATTTCTCCTGCAGGTCTCAGATTGAACATCTCTTAGGCCAGCTTGCTAGCAAATAGTATATGCAATATATTGTAATTTGAATTTGCATCTACTTAATATCACTAGTTACTTATGGCAGTGGGTTGCAGCAGCTAGAATATTATGAACAAAAAGTTGTTCCATTCATTTTTGAGAATTGAATAAATTACCAATCAAGGTGATGAGTATTTCTGAGAACACATGCATGTTACACTATTCACTTTACTTTGAAAAGGCCTCTATTCAAATAGACATCATCCTTGACCTTCTCTGCCCTATATTTTTAGCTACATTTCTCATCTTTTAGCATACGCTAAGTTCTTTCCTCATAATGAAATTTTTTTTAGTATTGGGGAAAAGACAAACTGAGCACAAAATACTGTGTTGGGCACTAAAAGTATAGAGACAAATAAGGTGGTTCCTACTTCCAGGAGCACAGAAATATTTTGATAAGAGTGGGGGAGCTCACTAATGAGCTGCAAGGTATGGAAGATTAGTGCATTCGTTCAACAAATATTTACTAAGTACCAACTCAGGTATAGTTCTAGATGCTAGTAGTACAAAATCCCTGCTTATAAGGGAACATAGGTGCCATTTGAAGAATGAAAATAGTAACAAAAAGAAAAATCCAGGCATTTCAGAAGATGATAAATGTTGAGAAGAAAAGTAAACACAGGATAAGGATTAAACTGATATGGTGGAAAGTAAGGGACACATACTCTAGATAGGGTGATAAGAGAAAGTCTCTGTGGGGAGGTGACACCTAAGACCTGAATAATAAAAAGTAGTCAGTCATTGAAGATCTAGGACAAGAATGTTTCAAGTAAAGAAAACAGGAAATTCAAGAACCTGAAATTGAATGAACTCAGCTTAATAAATAAAAAGGTAGGCATGACTAGAAGAGAGTAGCAGCTTATCTAGTATAGAAGAGGAATAGAATACAATATCTCAGTCACTAGGAATAGCATGATCCAAGAATCTAGAAATTTGAAGGTGTAGGTATGTCATAAATATGACTAGGAATGTAATGTGACTGGAGTGTAGGGGTGTGTATGATTGGAGGAATGAAAGATTGCAAATAGGAGATAAGACTGGGAAGATAGGTTGGTGCCAGAATATTGAGATTCATAATTGCTATGTTAAAGAATTTGGAGTTTATTCTGTGGAGAGGGAATTATCAATGGGAGTCCACAAATGTCCCCACTGATATACAAAAACCCTCATATATCCCAGTTTTATATATAAAAGACTTCATAGTTTATATCATATTCAGAAAGAGGGAGTCATCTCAGGCTGTGGAGTCAATGAGTAACAGGGTTTTAAGCAGAGGTATGGGGAGGACTGAATGTAGAGGAAAGAGAGTGCAATTCAAGAGCAAAGAATATTATTGTAATTGCATAGAAATACCAGAATCCAGAAGAATCTGGAATTTTAAAACTTAGATCTTAGAGATCTTCTAGGGGAAAGTGATTCCCAACCCTGGCTCTAGGTTAGAAATATTTGGGGGAACTTTAAAAAGATATTGATGTCCAGGTCCCACCCTGAGCCTGGTATGTTATTGACATGAGGTAATCATCATGGAAGGTGCTACTTGGAAGTAGCTTATGATTTAAATCCTGGCTCTTTCCCTTCATGACCGTGGCCACCTCATGGTACACTCTAAGCATGAATCATTTCTCCTGGAAAGTAGAAATGATAAACTGGTCTATCATTCAAGGACTATGAGATAGATAATATGTTGGGCCTAGTGTAGTACATGAGGACAATATGTAATGTCTAAGAATTAGTATCCTTTGCCTTTCTCTTCATTAAATGCATCTAGAAAGGCGACAGAGTGAGAGAGGAACAGCAATCTGGTCCCGTGGTTCCTAACCGGTCGAGGGGCAGTGTATCTCACCTGGAAGTGTTGGCACTTTTCCTTTCAAATGATAAATATAAGTACTCTGGAAGATACTGAACATAGAGTGTGGTTGGAGTTCAAGAGTAAAGGAAGGTTCCCTGAGAAAATAGCATTTGCGATTTGAACAGAGAGGAGTTGGGTGGTGAGGAGATGGGCATTGTGGCAGAGGGAACAGCATGAAGCAGATGGTGTACATCAAAGATTAAAAGCACTTTGGTCTGATCTCCAAAGCTCATACAGGTAGCCATAAGAAAGACAATTAGGATAAGGTTTAGGATGGGGTTAGGGTTATTCTGATTCTCAGATTTCACAATAATAGTTATAAAAAAAATGGAGTTATAGAAACAAAGAAACAGGGTAGGTTTAGGAGTAGTAATAGAATGAGTTAGGGTAACTCTGACCCTCATAAAGATAGTAAACAGAATCAGATGAATCTAGTTTATTTCAAAGTGGTACTATAACCACATAGAGTAGCAAATTTTTTCAAGTCACATTTGCACACAGTTCTTTGACATTTAATTTTTAGTGTTATTCCTCTTCTGTTTGCTTATACTTCAGTTGAATGATCTTACAAAAGTGCAAATTGTCCTTCCTTAAAATCCTTCAGTGACTGCCTCTACTCTATGAGCTATAAGGTCCTTTATGATCTTCCACTACGAGACTTATTTTTCCTAATAATGATGGCTTTATAATTTGGAAACTATTGTGAGATAAGAAAATATGTTATTTATTGGGAAATAAGATTTTCCATGTAAGAGAAAAGAGATGCAAATATAAGGTAAAATATGAAAAAACTTGAATTGTTAAATTTGAGTTGAAAATATCAGTACAAATTCATAATATAAATATTTTTGGTTGTCTACCAAAGAAGTTGGAGAAACAATAAAACTCCTAGCAGTAATAAGAACATTTTGCACCCGGATCTGTTTCCTAATTAGCATTCTACATTAAAAAGGAAATGAAAGGCAAGTGAAGGGAAAGAAAATGGGAAGAAAAAAGGGAGGAAGAAAGGACAGGAAAGGAACAGGGCTCCTTGGAGAAGTAAATGACTGATTTCATGTCTGGAACAAAGAAAGCATAAAATGAAGTTAAACATGTTATTTTGTCAGAAAGCAAGGAATTACTCAAATATTTATAGGATAAAGAGTACAAAAGTCAACTAGAAGGGGGCTGCTGTTTGTCAAATTTGGGACAATTTGAGCATCAAAAAGAATAAAGGATTAGTAATTATAAAATTGATTATAAAAAAGTAAAAATGGTGATATAAAAAGAAGGGAGGAAGTGTGGTGTGTGTGTGTGAGAGAGAGAAAGAGAGAGAGAGAGAGAGAGAGAGAGAGAGAGATTCTTATTTAGCAAAGAATGTCAGTAAATAAATGTAGAAGGAAGAAAAGATTTAGAAAAATCATCATTTTGCAGCCCCTCATGTAATAAGCAATTCCTATAAGAATCAATAATGGCTGCTTAAATTACAAGATAACGGATAGTTGGAGGTTAGGCATTTGCATGGTGTCAGAATATTACACTAGAGATTACCTGTTCCTTGCAAAGGGAAAGCATATCTTGATGATTTTATTTAGAGGGGTCTGGTGTTCACCATCTTACTCAAATGATCAACTTTAGTGTATTAATAGTGGGACAGACTGACTAAGTGTCTTTTGTTGTGATGTGATTCAGGTACATCTATTTTTTGCCAGAAATATTGAACCTCAGTCTAATCAAACCTCTAGACCTATCTTTAAATATACAGGAAATACAGGGGATGAAAATGTGACTTAAATGAAACTCTGAGGAAACATGTAAATCTTTTTGTTTAGTCCAGGGGGCTGGGTATCAGTCATATAATCACACTGACAACTGGCAGGAAGGCTACTCAGTTATAAAGCCAAGCTATTTGACAAACATGTTGATTACCAATTCCCCAGCTGAAGATGTGCTAAAGAGGCAGATGAGAGAAACAGTATGATGAAAAAATTGTTGGAGGAAGTTTCATGTTCTACCTTTGACTATCTGTAGAGTTTGAATAAGCCAAACCTCTATTCTGAGCTATAGTAGTTTCATCCATGAAGTAAGGAATTGGACAAATTATCTTTGAGGGCCTTTCCTACACTAAAGCCCCCTAGTTGAAGGAGCTACTTAGATCAAGGTTGCCCTGGAGCAACATAATGCTGCTGTTGAATGATTAATCTCTTGGATCTTAGAGAATGATTTTATATTTATCCTTTTGTGTGATTGCTCAGTCATTGAAGCTTTAGAAAGTTAGCTTTATGAGTATGTATGAACAGTAATAATTTAGAGAGAGGTTCTTATGACTTAGAGCAAGTTTTTAGCAAAAGAAAAATTTTCTGAGCAGTTTCTAAGGTAAATCATTTGGGCAAAGGTGACTGAGGTCTCCAAGCAAAGTAGAAAGGACTAGTGCATGACCATGAATGAGTCAGTTCTAATTTCTAGTTTCAATGTCTTCTTTCATAAAATGAAGATGTTCTTAAAATGTCAGATATAGCATCTGGATTTCTCTCCTGCAGAGGAATGTGAGGTGATGGAAAGAACATGGATTCAGAGTTAGACCTGTGTTTGAATCTTTATAGCAATGAGACTTTAGGCAAATGTACTTACATCCTCTGAGCTAAGTTTTCTCATCTGCAAAATATGGATAATAAAGCATGCCTCACAGGGAGATTGCCAGAGTTCAGTGAGATAATTTGGTACACTGCTTTGTCCATATTGGATGTTTCCTTCTCTTCTTCCTGTTTATCTTATAAGATGGAGGTGGGGAGGCATTGAAGACTTCTGGGGTGCTCTATCCTTATGTTGCCATTCAGTCATAATTTCCCTAACTTTTCCTTCTGAGCAGCACATCATCCCCTCTTGGCTTGTCACAGAGGCAGTTTTGGGGAGGGTTGAATGGCCATTGTCACGGTTGCTTTTGCTGCTGCTTAGGGTTACTCTTCTCTGACAGGTGATAAAGCTACAGAAATGTGCCACATGGAGAGGCTACAGATCTGACTCACCAGATGAGTTGTGACAGTAGGCAGTGGACTTCTTGCTGATTGGGGTTCTCCACATCAGGACACCTACTCCATTCTTCCCACACTTGGGGTTTGCAGAAATCCTAGAGATGACCAAGAACTTATCTTCCACCCATCCGTAGCTGTAAAAGGAGTACACATTTGAATGGATATATTAATCTCTATAGCTAAACAAGAACAGAGAGCTAAAAGGGTTCCAGCAGTGTCAGTGAATCCAGCTGTTTCTTACCTGCAAGTCTCAAAGCCATACTTCCATGCTGCTTCAATCTGGTCTTTGCTGGCCAAAGTTAGTCCCAGCAGTCTACAGGCCTCCGTGGCTTCTGTGAAATTCATCTGCTTAGCTGTGTTTTTGGTTGTCACAAGCGTGACCCCCTTAATTCTGCATTGTATTGAGATGGAAAGTTCTGCAAAGGAATCACATTGGTACTCAATTTACTGCTATTTTTGTTCTTAGCCCCTAGCAGAACAGTATTGTCTTGATGCAGCAGAGAGATTCATGTGGCTGGGATTGAGGTTTAGAAATGACATAGCCCGGGCATTTCTCACAAGGACATCCTGCTGGGTTAGGTGGAGGCTTGCTCTGATCCAGGTTGTACTTCTTACCACATCTGAGTCCATCATATCCTATTGCATTAAGGTGCCTATTCATTACATGGGGACTTTGGCTGCAAATTCCCAGGGTGTGGTCTAGATGATGCAGTTGCTGCAAACCATTTTGGAATCCATAAAATGAAGAGTCTGAGACTTTGAGAAAGACAGAATTTGGGCTCTGGTTAATAGAATATTAGCAATACTCCAAACCAGTGTGGTCTGGGGACACCGCTATTTCTGAGATGGCATGAAAAATGTTGCATTTGGTAAAACAGAATATGGGTTCTCTCAGTCCCAGGTCTTCTCTAGCCATTGTGGGGCAGACTTACTCAGAAGTTCTGGAGGAATGGAAGCAGTAGACTTTGCAAGGCAAAAAGACTTAATAAAGGAAGAAGAATCTTAGTCAGACCTAGATTTGAATCCAGCCTATGTTGCTTGCTAGCTCTGTGATCTTACAAGAGTTACTTCATTTCTTTAGGGTTCAGTCTTTCTTTTTTTTAAACTGAAGGAGGAATAGTACCTTATATGGGGTAGTGAGAGATAAGTGAATTAATTAAAATAAAAATGCTTATCATATTACCTGCTGCATAGTAGGTGCACAATACATCACAGGTAATATGTTATCAGTATGTTACCTTCAAAGCATTTTGGCTTTACTTTGCTAATCATTTACCAACTTCAGAAAGCTGAGATAGTTGAACAATTAAGATGTGAATAATATTTTACTCAAAGTCTAATGAATTTGAGTTCTTTGACCCCTACCCAGTAGGTTCTGGGATTTATAAACTTCAGTGAAATTATGAAATTTTACCATTCTGCTTTGACTTCATCCACAAAACTCCATGAAAGGACATTTCAGTCTTCTAGTAATTGCTTGTACGCAGATCTGTGCATTGGAGCCCTGTCAAATGCTTTGACCACTTCCTATTCTAAGTCCTCCAAGTGACGATGCTGTGCTTTTGAGCAGGGGACAAGGAGGAAGGATATGGATATGATACATAGTTTTTGTGGATGGTCTTGTTTGCTTCCAGGCACTGCTTTCACCAAAAGAGACCAGAGAGCCAACACTCAATACAACTTTGTGACATAACAACTGCTTATGACTGTATATGCTAATCTAATTACCTATACCAATATGGATATTAATACTAATATTATTTAACATCAATATTATTTTGACATCTATAATCCATTGTTGTTACTCTTTGCCAGACCCTGTCTTTTTTTAACAGAAACTTGAGACTCAGGGAAATTAAGTAACTTTCCCAAGCCTAAGAATATGGAGTCCAAGGACATAGGTGGCAGGTTGGGGGCAGAATCACAATTACGACTGACTTAAAACCCTAATTCTTTGCTAGGACTTTATTCTCTTTCCTGCTCTGCTGTGGGGAGAAGATGAACACACACACACACACACACACACACACACACACACACACTGAACTCTGAACACTATTTGTCTTGAAATTTGGCTCTTTTAGCTCATGCTTTTGCTATTGTTCAGTGGTCTCTGGCTACTTCTTTGGGAATTTCTGCAGAGAAGATTTATTAACTACACTATAAAGTGGTCTTGTTATTCTCTCATACCTCATTTTTACTGTAAATATTATTATTTACAATAACAATAGACTTATTCCAGGTGAATAGTCCTGGGTTTGCATTTCTTCTGTTGTTAATTGGCTGTAGAATATTTGGCAAGTAAGCATTCTTATTTGTAAGATGGGAATGGTTATATTTTCTTCATAGAATGTTTGTTAGAATGAAATTAGATAACTTGTACTTAGCAGAGGCTGGGTCTATGGTAGGTAGTCAACAAATATTAGTAATCGTATTCTGCCTTATATCATTTATGGGCAAAAATAGAGAATTAGATTCCCGGGGTATTATAGTAATTCCTTTTATAAGATTTGTCAGGTAACAGTATGCATAGTAGTTATGCTTAGGAATCAGAGAGAAATATAAACCCAAGCATTATTATTTACCATCTTTATAATAGGCAAATCATTCAGCCTCACTGATCTATAAAATGCTTTCTTGAGAAGATTAAATGAATTTTTATGTATGTACTTAACTTCTATATTGCTACATAATAGGCCTCAAAAATACACCTTCATTAGCCACCTTGTTTTCCCCAATCATGATTTTAAATAACTTTGACTGTTCTAAAAATTAATTTCCAGGTAAAATTTTGCCATCATGTGGATGGTCAAAAGAATGTGATAAAGTCATTGTCAAAGAACAGTTTCCAAAATAGTTTGAGTAATGGTGGCATTACAGGGGAAAATGAGTAGGGGGTTTCAAAGAAGACCAAACTTGTTTGAAAGTAACAGTGCTAATAGTGCAGGAAAAAACAACTATGTAACTCTAACTTCCCTTTATTTTTTTTTTATAATAAATTTCATTTTTATATTCCCCATACAATTGCAACCCCCCATTCTGACCCCAATCCCTCCCCTCCCGCCCCCCACCCCCAAAAAGTGTCTCTGGTTCATAGTTTTTTGTTGATTTTGATTTTCACTTTCTTATAGTTATTCATTTTCCTGGTCCCTTATTTAAGTTTTCTAGATTCCTGCTATGAGTGAGACCATCCGGTATTTTTCTTTTTCTTTTTGGCTTATTTCACTGAGCATGATCCCTTCCAGTGCCATCCATGTTGCTGCAAATTGCATGTGTTTATCTTTTTTGAATGCTGAGTAATATTCCATGGTATATATGTACCACATCTTCTTGATCCAGTCATCTATTTTTGGGCATTTGGGTGTTTCTAACTTCCCTTTAAAATTATATACAACATATGAATCAACTCTTGGTGTCTGGATGTCTGATCCCAACGTATTTTATATCTCAGGGCATCTTCCAGCACAGGAACACACAGTTTTCCTTTTAAGGTGCTTAGATTTTCATTTGCTCAAACTGTAATGAATGATTTGTGGATACAGCTTTTTTGCCTGCAGCATAGAATGAGGCATCTCAAAAGCCCAGAAGTCATATCAAATCATTGTTTTGGTAAGGAGCTGATGGATAAGCTATATTTTCTTTTTTTTTTTTTTTTTTTAATGTTTTTTTTTTTTTTTTTTTTTTAATAGAGGCATGCTTTATTTATTTGTTTGCTGGTTTGTTTGTTTTGTTTATACATGCACTGGGTACAGTCAGAAGCGCGGGAGGGTGAGAGAATTCACCAGAGCCAGAGCGGGGAGCAGAGCAGGCAGAAGGACCGAAGTACACTGCTGAGGGGAGCAGCGGGCGGCAGGAGAGGTCTGCACGCCATGTGGGACCCTCCTCCGGTGGCCGGGGAGCAGCCGGGGATCGAACCGGCGCCGCAGAGGCCGCGGGCAGCTTCGCAACCCAGCGCTCAACCGCTGCGCCACCGGGGAGGCCCGGATAAGCTATATTTTCACAGATTGTTCTCCAGTTAATTTACTATTCATCCTGTATTAAAACTAAATACAATCCATGGTAATAGAGTAAAATAAAAATAATTTTACTGACACTTCCAGAAATATAAGACCAGTCAACATTTAGTGAAAGTCAGTCACTTTACCCAGAATTAATGATTGCTTAAAAATTTTCAAAATCATGGTTTGCTTCTTTAGTGAAACACTTAAAAAAAAAGTTCTCTCCTCACTGTTTTGTTTCAAACTGTCTCCATTAAAAATATCCCATGGCGCGCGGACCTCTCCTGCCACCTACTGCTCCCCTCAGCAGTGTACTTCGGTCCTTCTGCCTTCTCTGCACCCCGCTCTGGCTCTGGCGGGTTCTCTCACCCTCCTGCACTTCTGACTGTGCCCAGTGCTTGTATAAATAAATAAATATATCTTTAAAAAATCCCATAATAAAAATTAAAGTCAAGAAAACATAAAGGTAAATGTGAATTATGTTGATGGAGTTGGCAATATGACCAAAACATATCTGACAGAGAAGTACTAACAAAACAGATCTTCTGTTAACACTGAGGATTGCCCCACTCCCAGAAATTCATAGTCAAGGGCTAAGTAGATTTAGAAAAGTTTGTAAGATCTTGCCTTTCAGGTTGGAAATCTGGTAAGAAACCTACCTTCTTTGTGGAGAGAGCCTTGGACCAGGAGCCTTGTGGTCCAGATGGAGGCAAGAAGCAATACCAGAATGAAGCACTTGGCCATTGTTTCTACTACTTCAAAGCTGGAGAAGCACTTCAGATGGCCCTGGCAGTCACCGAGGCAGATAGTCACCTGTCATGAGGGAGAGTTCTGGAAGTACGATGAGGCACACTCGCTGTTCCACTTCATAACCGAGACATCCGGATTTCCCTGCTTTCATGCTTCTGACTTGTCAAGGTCACTGGGGGAAATGAATGACGTCCCTTGAATGCCCAGCCTGTATTTTGTGGATGGCCTTCTGGAAATTTTAGCTGATGCTGACTCAGAAAGCACACAAATGGGGAAGGCAGATAGCACAGTGTGGCCTGGTGACATTTCCCAATTCCCATATTTTCTGCCACCACCCACCTCCCCCCAGCTCAGTTTTCACACCATTCATCCTTAGTGCCTCTGGAGCACATTCATTTATATACTCTGTCTCAAAAGGAAATTGAGCATGGAGTGTACGTCTTTTCCTCCCACAATCTGTGATTGATTCCCCCCACCCCCAGCTGCATATCCTTGTGATCTGTAGGGGAAATGCTGCAGCTTGTGAAAGCCAATGCCCAGCTCAACACAGAGGACAGTGTCTTCATGCTTCCTTAGGGACTTCCTTATACATTTGAAATTTCTATACCACTCCAGGTGATTCATTCTGCATCTAAAAATATTTCATATTTACAAAATACTACTAGCTGTAATTTACAAAATAAGTCATTGTACATCATACAAAAGGAATTTTGACTCTGCAGTAATAATCACCCCAAGCATTCTTTATATGTAACTTTTTCTTTATTAATGTCTCTCATATTCTTTTTTAAATTAATTTTTTTACATTATTGTTCATTTTTAAACAATATTTGCTTCCCCCCACCCTCTCAGGTGTAGTCCCCATAGAATTTCCCTCATCAAAGCACCCATGCACCGTCACCCTAGTCCCCTGTGCTCCTCCCTCCCTCTCTCTGATCCCTCTCCCTCCTGCTCCTCCCCTACAGGATGTCTCTGACTTATAATTGTCTGTTTTTGCTTTGTTGTGCTTTGTACTGTTACAATTTTTTTTACACTGATGCCTTATTTGGTTCCCCTATATTCCTGCTATAAGTGAAACCATCTGATATTTTTCTTTTTCCTTCTGGCTTATTTCATTGAGCATAATTCCTTCTAGCTCCATCCACATTGCTGCTAATGGCATGAGTTTATCTTTTTTGATTGCTGAATAATATTCCACTGTGTATATGTACCACATCTTCTTGATCCAGTCATCTATTTTGGGGAATTTGGGTTGTTTCCATATCTTGCCTATTGTAAATAGTGCTGCAATAAACATAGGAGTGCAGGTATCTTTTTTTTTTTTTAAAGATTTATTTTTTTATACAAGCACTGGGCACAGTCAGAAGCGCAGGAGGGTGAGAGAATTCATCAGAGGCAGAGCAAGGAGCAGAACAGGCAGAAGGACCGAAGTACACTGCTGAGGGGAGCAGCATGTGTGGCAGGAGAGGTCTGTTGTGCTATGTGGGGCCCTTGCCACTGGCCGAGGATCAAACTTGCGCTGCAGAGGCTGCGGGCAGCTTCGCAGCCCAGCGCTCAACCACTGTGCCACCAGGGGAGGCCCTAGGTATCTTTTTGAATTAATGTTTTTGTGCCCTTTGGGTAGATTCCTAGGAATGGAATTGCTGGAACATATGGTGGCTCCATTTTTAGTAGTTTGAGGAAACTCCACACAGCTTTCCATAGTGGTTGGATCAGTTTGCATCCCCACTAGCAGTGCAGGAGTGTTCCTTTATCTCCACATCCTCGCCAACATATGTTGTTGCCTGTTTTTTAAATATGTGCCATTCACTGGTGTAAGGTGTTATCTCATTGTGGTTTTGATTTGTATTTCCCTGATTATAAGTGATGTTGAACATTTTTTCATATACCTGTTGGCCACTGACCTTTCCTCTTTAGAGAAGTGTATTTTTAGCTCTTTTGACCATATTTTGAAAGGATTTACTTTGTTGATTTGTGTGAGATCTTTGTAGATTTTTGTGATCAGTCCCTTATCAGTTGTATTGTTTGCAAAACTTTTTTCTCAATCAGTAGTGTGTCTCTTTGTTTTGGTTAATGTCTCTTTTGCTATACAGAAGCTTTTCAGTTTGATGTAATCCCAGTTGTTTATCTTTTCCTTCACTTTCTTTGCTTTGGGGGATGTGTCTTTAAAGATGTTACTGAGGTATATGTCGTGTAGTGTTTTACCTATATTTTCTTCTATATATTTTATGGTTTCAGGTCTTACATTGAGGTTTTTTATCCATTTTGAGTTGGTTTTTGTGCATGGTGTGAGGTAGTAGTCTAGCTTCATTCTTTTGCAAGTAGCAATTAGTTTTCCCAGCACCATTTATTGAACAAACTGTCCTTTTTCCATTGCATAGTCTTTGCTCCTTTGTAAAAGATTAGTTGTCCATAAATATGGGTTTTCTATTCAATTCCATTGGTCTGTGTGTCTGTTTTTGTTCCAGTACCATAGTGTTTTAATTATTATGGCTTTGCAGTATAGTTTGAAATCAGGCAGTGCAATACCTCCATTATTCTTCTTTTTAGTCAGGAGAACTTTGGCTATTTGAGGTTTTGTTTTTTTTTTCCATATGAATTTCATCAATATTTGTTCTGTTTCTTTGAAAAATGTCATTGAAATTTTTATCAGAATAACATTACATCAATAAATTGCTTTCAGTAGGAATGCCATTTTGATAATGTTAATTCTTCCAATCCATGAGCAAGGGGATATCTTTCCATTTCTTTGTGCTTTCTTCTGTTTCTTTTAACAGTGTCTTATAAGTTACTTTGTATAGGTCCTTCACCTCTTTTGTTAGGCTTATTCCCAAGTATTTGATTTTTTTGGTTTCAATTATAAATGGGATGGTTTTCTTAATTTCTTCTTCAGATTGATTGTTTGCATATAGGAAGGCTACTGATTTTTGTGTGTTGATTTTGTATTCTGCTACTTTACTAAACTGGTCTATAATTTTTTTTAAAAGATTTATTTATTTATGCATACAAGAGCTGAGGTACAGGCCAGAGATGCGGGGGGTGAGAGGATTCACCTAAGATAGAGTGGGGAACAGAACAGACAGATTGACCGAAATACACTGCTGAGAGGAGCAGTGGGTGAGACAGGAGAGGTCTGCTGTGCCATGTGGGCTGCTCCCTGGCCAGCTGGGGATCAAACTTGTGCTGCAGAGGCTGCGGATTGCTTTGCAGTGCGGTGTTTAACCCCTTGTGCCACCAGGGAGGCCCACCGGTCTATATATTTTTATTGGTTTTTCTGTGAAGTTTTTAGGGTTCTCTATGTATATCTTATCATCTGCACATAGTGATAGTTTTACTTCTTCTTTCTCTATTTGGATTTCTTGTATTTTTTCTCTGGTCTTATTGCTCTGGATAGGACTTCCAATATTATATTGAAAAGCAGTGGTGAGAGTGGACGTCCTTGCCTTGTTCCAGATCTTAAGGGAAAGGCTTTTTCGCTGTTGAGGATAATATTGGCTGTGGGTTTGTTGTATATGGCTTTTATTGTGTTAAGGTATGTTCCTTCTATCCTGAGGATTTTGAGGGCCTGCATAAATGGATGTTGAACTTTGTCAAATGCTTTCTCAGCACCTATTGACATGATCATGTAGTTTTCATATTTCTTTTCATTGATGTGTTGAATTACATTAATTGATATTCAGATGTTGAACTATCTTTGTGTCCTTGGAATAAATCCCACTTGGTTATGGTGTATTATCTTTTTGTTGCATTGTTGGATTCTGTTGGCTAAGATTTTGTTGAGGCAATTACTTTCAGGGTCGGGCCTGGATGGCTATATAACCTCCACCTACATTCCATTGGCCAGACCTTTGCCACTTTTCCCCATCTAACTGTAAAAGAGAGCACAAAGTGCAATTAATGACATGTCCAATAGCAAAAAGAAAAATTGATTTGGTGAACACGTAGTAGTCTGCCACAGTTTACTCGTGTGATCATCCAATATAGGGTTCACTCCTCTCTCATATAGAATGCAAATACTATTGTTCTCAAGGGAGACAGACAATCTTCCCAATTGGCTCAAGTTCCATGATCACTGAATTATGGTCAATCTTTCTATCAATTTCCATATTAACTGAAAACATTTGTCCCCCAAATGTAATGGTGAAACAGGATCTGTGTAACATCAATAAAAGTGCCAATGTGTGAAGTAGAAGAGTAGGAAACACAGCAATTACCTGACCATAGCACTTCTGGAATACCAATTAAGAGACATTATGAAGACCACCATGTCAGTTTTCTATTGCTGCAAAACAAATGACCTCAGACATAACAACTTAAAACAACACTGATTTATTATGTCACAGTTCTGTGGGTCAGACTGGTCCTTTGCTCTGCATTTCACAAGGTTGAAATCAAGGTATTGACTGCACTGGGTTCCCACCAAGAAGCTCTGGGGAAGAATGCACTTGGCTGAATAGGTGATTCAGGTGGTTGATCTAATTAATTTCCTTGAAGTTGTAGGACTGTGGCTCCTGTTTCCTCTCTTGCTGCCAATTGGGTCCATTCTCTCCTAGAGGCTACTTGCTTTCTTCTTATATGACCCACTCCGTTTTCAAAGCAGCAATGACATTTTTGAATGTCATAAATCTAATCTCTCTTGCCTCTACTTCTACCATTAGCCAGAGAAAATTCTCTGCTTTTGAGGGCTCATGTAAATACATTGAGCCCACTGAAGGTTCTCACTATTTTTTTTAAGATTTATTTATTTATTTATACAAGCATTGGGTACAGTCAGAAGCGCAGGAGGGTGAGAGAATTCACCAGAGCCAGAGTGGGGAGCAGAACAGGCAGACCAACGAAGGACACTGCTGAGGGGAGCAGCGGGCAGCAGGAGAGGTCTGCGCGCCATGTGGACCCTCGCTCGGTGGCCGGGGCAGCTTCGCAACCCAGCACTAAACTGCTGCGCCACCCGGGAGGCCCGGTTCTCACTATTTTAAGGTCAACTGTACTCTGTAACATAACACCCAGAATGATATCTCATATTCAGAGTTTCCAGGGATTGGGGAAGGATACCTTTGTTGGGGGGATCATTTCAGAAACTCTGCATATCACAATTACCTACTTTTTATTAGATCCTGCTTCTTTTTTTATTTTTTTGGAAAAACTCCCAGGTCCTCTGTCCACTTGTTCTGTGTAGTCTTTTCATTATATATAAACTTCCTCAGCCACATTTAAAATGGGAATTAGGCAGTGTACCTTTCTTGCTGATAACACAGCTTTTATAATCTACTTTTTGCTGGCATGAGCATAGGATCCTCAAAGTTGTTTTCATTTGAACAATCAAAGGAATTTTTAGTCCTGGCTTATGTTTCTTTGTAAGTTCAATTCCCTTGTAAACTCAGATTTCAGATCTCTTTCCTTCCATTTGATTCCATGTGCAATAATCCTTTCGCAGTCATAATTTCCAAGGTTTATTTGTTTTCTCAGTCCCATGATCCTTGCCTCTCCCATTAATGAGTGGCTGCACTGTGTTTATTTGAAACCACAGAGAGAAGGGCCATATCTTTAATCTGACCTTTGTTAATAGGGCTGAGTGGATCTGTTCAACTGAGAAAATTTATTCTTTTTTACTCAAAGCTCTCTTTAGTCCTGTTTGGGATTTAGAACAGGGTTTTCTAACCCTTTAATCTTTTGATTTGACCACTATATTTCATTTCTGCTTCCAAGTAGCCAGATATTTCCTCAGTGCTTCATTTTCTTTAAGTACCTTGCAAAAGGAAACTAATAAAGGTTTATACATTCCAGCACTGATTCTTTCCAACCACTTCTAGGGTGGCTGCCCAGGGACTGTCTTTCAAGTTATCAAGGGTTAAGATTTTTTTATTCATAACATGAATAAAACATGGGTCACCATAATTCCAGTCACTGTTTCATGTTTTCTTGTTTCTTGTTTTCTGTTTCATGTTTCCAGTTTTCTTGTTTCATGCCATTTGACTGCTATGCCAGTGCCTCCTATTATGAAAATTTGCCATTGAATCAGTCTTGTTGCTGATTAAAATGTATGCATTAGTCAGGATAGGCTAACTGCTATTACAAATATTCTTGAATTTTGGTGGTAAATACACTAAAATTTTATTACTTCTTCATGTCACAATTGAATTCTTTTTATTTTTTTTTTTTTTGGAAGAAAAAATAATCATTTATGAGAAGTCAATTTTTAACCCAGAAATTAACTAGAATTAGTTTGCATGTCTGGATTTTTAGCCCGAGCAATAAGTAACCTCTTCCTGTAACCTGATTTGTGTAGTTTGCACACACCCAGTGGGGAAAGATGATAGTCAAATACAATTTTGAATTGTTGCCAAGAATTCTTGATACCTGATATGGCAACTGTCAGGAGGAACCACTGGGTTCTGTCATGTCACACTATAGATAGGGTATAATTAATAAATGTTTGACTAAATTAATGAATGGGAGCTCATGGGACTCCCAGTCACGTGTCACAGTTGAATTCTATGAGTGCTCATTTGCAGACCCAACTTCCACTTAGTGTTTCTGCCATCTTCTTTAGGTCATCATCTTTAGGTCATCATCTTTAGATGATGCCTTTAGGTCATCATCTTAACCTTCAAATGTATTATACAGAGAGGGGAATGAAGAAGGTGTGACATATTGGGCAGGGGTGTGTTTTTAGGAAACCAGATCTAGCAGATCTACATTCCCCTGCCTCTATTTGTGAGAAAGACCAAAAAATACAGTGTAGCTATGGAAATCAGCTTAGCGAAAATTCAGTCCTATCACAGCAAAATACATAATTTTAAAAATTGCAGGTCAGGAAGGTATAGGAAGCCAGGATCAGGAATGTGGCAGGGGAGTAGAAGAATTGATCCAGGCCCTGGGAGGTAGCCCTTAGTAAATGACCCATGGGCTTGGGACTCCTGGGAGGCCTCATATCTGAAGAGATACAATCCAGAGGTGGTGAAGATAATGGCTCAAGCTCCACAAAATGAGGAATCATTCAGCTGCTGTCAAAGGTTTGGAAATGTGTTTTTATTTCAAACTCGGTATGTGACACTTTATAGTTCATTGCTAGCACACCTGTGAGGTTTAACAACATTAGAAACAACCAGTGATACACAAATCCAGCATCTCCCTCTCCATTTACTCTGCCAGGCTATACATGGGGAGCAATACATGTGGGCTTTGTGGCATCCAGAAAGTGAATGTCATTTTTGGAAGTGCCATCAACAACGACACAAACAACCCATCTCTTGGTGACTGAGGGTAGGCACCCAGAGTCCTTGGGCTAAGCAGAAATGTCAGACCTCAGAGGCAATTTGAGGGGAGTTTTTATTTCATATCAATGTCACCGTTGGAAATACACATCCTGTTTCTATTTTGCTGTTGCTTTTGCAACAGTTTTACCTGCATCAGGTCAATCTTTGCTTTTCAGAAAAGAAATAGTGTTGAGTAAGTTCTCAGGAATTCCCTTGTAAATGTGACTACTCATATGCTCCTTCTTTTCTTCAACTTCTCTTACTTACAGAATGGTTTAGTGAGGGCCTGGTCTAGAAATACTCTTATAGGCCTTTCTGTGGAGCAGTTGGAGGTTAAGGAGCCACTGCAGTTCCTCTCCTGGCCTTGTCTAACTGGAAACAAAGGCTGGGGACCCTGTGGCCAAGTGGACAATGGACCAGTAAAACTTGGTCCTTCTTTAAAAGAGGCTGAGACAGGACATTGCCAACCTAAAGTCCTGTCCCGCAGCCACTATCCAGTGCATTCTATCTTTGGCTCTGAAGGCCTAAACCTCCTTCCATGTGCCTGGCCCCCCACTGGAAGAGGCATGAAAAAATCATCTATCCATGCCCCCAAAGTCTGTCTACTTTGATCTACACCTCTTTTCCTTAATGGCACATTCTTAGTCAACTGCGGCTTGGGCTTTTCTCACAGTGGTTTTCTAGCCACTGTTAAGGATGACCCCCACTCCTTAAATCAACATGCTGTTTTAAAGTGGGGCCTTATTTAGGTGGGTCATTCAAAGGAGTGATTGTATCAAGCCCAGTTCTTGAGCTTAAAAATGGTATGTCAGTCAGGTCTCATTTCTACTCCCAGAATAGAATGGAAATGTTAGAATAGATCGAGTCTGGTAAAGATGTTATTTTCTCAGTGAGATAGTAGTAGTAGTGAAGATGCTAGTTACTAGGACATATGTAAAGTGTCAGCTGTCCTCAGTCTGCTCTCCACCAGCTTGAATACTCACATTCTTTTGACTGACATTTAATTACACCCTCCCAAGCATCAGCCACCATGTTATCCAGAGAATGGGTAAGACATGATTCTTGTCTTTGTGGAAGGGTGCTGGGCGGGGACAGACACATAAATAAGTCATCATGATATACTATTGTAACGGTCAATAATGAAAATGTTTTAAAAGTACCGGAAAGCACAGAGGAAGGTGTGACCTATTATGTGGGTATGATGGGAGATGGAGGGAGGTCACCAGTGCCCACATGGATGGAGTGATTTTTGCACCTGGTTCTGAAGAGTGATCGGAAGAAAAGAGGAGAATGGCAGAAGGAAAACTAGTGAGTAGAGGTCCTGAGCTGTGAGGGTAAACAGGTTAGTCTGGGGACCAGAAATGATTTGGAGTGATTGAAGACCATGTGGGCTATGGGAATGCAATTTAAAGCATCTACTTAGGAGAATCTTGGAAAAGGCAATTTAGTGCATGGGTTTAAAGCAAAGCCCTGGGAATCAGCCTGCCTGGGTTTGAGTTTTGCCTTCATGAGTTACTAACCGGGTATTCTTGGTGAGTTATTTGTCCTTTTTTGTGCTTCAGTTTCCTTATCTGAAAAGGGGATCTTTGTAGTTTTTTCTTTCTCTTGAGGACTAAACGGATTAATATATATATAATATCTAAAACAATGTTTAGCTCATAGTAAGTTCTAAATGAGTGTTAGTGACAAAGTCAAACATCTACAACAAAACCAAACCAAAAGCAAACAACCACAATAAAACCCACTGAGAAACCAACACCTCCCCAAAATTGATGAGGGATGAATGAAGCAGTGTCTGCAAAGGTAGAATAAGATGTCAAACTAGAAAGGGGATGTGTACTCTCAGTTTTATGCAGAACAATCAGAAATGCTCCAAAACATTCTTGGATAGGAAATTCCAATTGAATTGAAACAAGAAGGTGTAACCACATACTTGCATGTGGGAACAGAGAAGCTGAAAGCACACAGTGTCTCCTCATTCATCTCAGAGGTGAGTTATCTGCTTTCAAAGGGACAGAACAAATATGGATCAGACTGTGCTGTACAGCAGCAGAAAATTTGCATTTGAAATGGGCACCATTAGTTTGACATAGAAGCCATGAGTTTTCAGTGTTTTTAAATATCTTCAATCCACATGGAGAGCTCATTGAACAGGTAGGTGCCTGGTGACTGCCTACACCTAGTGAAAATCTGTGGGTTGACATGACATGCATTTTCTTTTTCCAGAACACAAACCCAGAGCACACTTTTGGAGGGTTGTTATCTTCATGCATATGCATGTTGTGTATATGTGTGTGTTGTGTTATGTGTGCAGATGCAGATATATTCATTCATATCTTCCCATTTCATTTCAAGCACTGAGCTAAGTTCAGCCTAAATACTGTTCTGAGAAGCCTTTCCTACTTCTGTAAAGAGAAAGTCTGATTCTAAAAGGGAGAAATGGAGGCTGAAGGGAGGTCAGTGAGAATGAGATGGGAAATGGGAAGATACTCATGTTGCAACTCTAATTCCAGGGTCAGACTTAGCTGTTAAGCACAATTCTTCCTGATTTCTGATTGCAGAGAGGAAAAAAGGAGAGTGAGCTTCTTACTGTCTTCTGCAGTGAAGGCATTTTATTTCTCCCAGCCATTTGAGCTAAGGACAGTGATCTTCCCTTTTCCTAGGGTCCCTTGATGAAGGTGACTTCTTTGTCCACTGAATCCTCTCCCAGGGCAATTCTGTTGCTCCTCCAAGAACATCAGATTAGATCCAAGAACATATGGTTAGCTTCCACAGGGGTGCTGCATGTGAAAGAACCCCTGCTCATTCCCTGATGGGCTGGTGGCAGCATGCCCATACCAGGCCTGACACCACGTGGTTGGGGAAAGGGTGGTAGGCTGTGTGCTGGAGTAGGACACTGATTAGGTGTCAGGTTTCCTACTGCTCCGTAGGCTGCTCATGCTGGAGTCCTGAGCTCCACCAGGAGTCTCTCTGGGCTGCTGAGCAAGTGGATCTCCCAGGTGGCCCATCGGTCTGCTCCACACAAGAGTTATAGGAATTGTAGAGTCCCAACACAATAGTCAAGACCAGCATTGCTGCGGCCATCATCCATATGACTTGCCAGTGCTGACACAGTTTGGGATACATGACTTGTAAGAAATGAACCAATTCTTCAAGTTTGCTGCCAAATGAAAAAACAGGTGGAAGGTTAGTATACTGGGCACATGTATGATGCCCAGACCCATACTTCTGTCTGGAATACTTTCCATGCTGCCTGCAGCAGTGGTTCTCAAGCTCAGCTGCACATAGAATTGCATGGCAGCAATTATTAAAAATACCCCAGGGCTGTCAATAAGACACTCCAAAAGTATCTTCCAGGAATCTATAGTTTAAACATTTCCCAAGGTTATTGTGATACACTAGTTCAAGACCCTCATCTTGGAAGCTACTGGGCTAGCACACTCTGTTTACTTGTTTGATCATTCATCCATCCACACATGCCCTTATCTCATGCTCTCATGCATCCAGGCAGAACCAGCATCTTTCCCACAGTTAGTGGCATTAGTGATCAGTTCTTCCTTTTTTTTTCCCAGTGATCATTTCTAAGTTACATCCTATCCCTAACTCCCGGCCTCAGAGTTGTTGTTCTCAGTGTCTGGAGCAGTAGGACTGTGCTAAACACCTAAAAGACTCTTGATGTCTGTTAAAATGACAAGGAATCAGATCAACGAGAGCTCATTTCAAACCATTCCAGAGGTAACCAGAAATTAGTAGCTTCCAGCAAACTCTGGGTGGCTTATTCAAGATGTTTCCTCAACCCCATTAATCTTCATTCCCTTATTTCCCCCTCCTCCTCTTTTCTCTTCTCTCTTCCCTCCTTGGCTTTAATCTTCTCTCCCCTTCCATTTTTTTTGTCTTTTCACTTCTCTTCCTCCTCTTTCTCTCTTCCCAACTATCTTTAAACTTTTTTATTTTCTTTATGACCTGGTGAAAAGACATTTGGTCCAATGGCCTGCTTTGAAGAATCCATTCTTAGAGGTAGAAGCCCTGGACATATTTGACTAAGCTAGAATTTCTTTCTGTTTTTAATCCCAGATATTAAAAAAAAAGAATTCTGAAAGGACCAGCAAATGCAGGAGGTGAAAAAGTGACAGGAGGGCTTTCTGAAGATCTCAAGTCTCCCATAGACATTGAAATATGCAGCCATTTGCTAGGAAGTAGAGAACTCCAATTCAGAGCTTGCAAAAAAGAAGATGCCTTATGATAGATGGAGAGACTCAAAATATACCCTTTTTAGAAAAGTATCATACTCTCAGAATGCCTGTCTTGCATGCTAAAGCATTGATTACTTTCTGTTTCCATGGGGGAACCCTTTGATGATCGTGTCAAGTATGATTTACGAGCACATCACCTTAGATGAAAATCATCAAAATGGAAATTTATTCTCTTTCTGTCCTATTTAGATTCTCTAGTTTCTATTTAGATATGATTTAATGCTAAATTCCAATATTTCTTCTGGGCTGTATTTCCATGCTCCAAAACAAGATGCTTGAGTTGGGGTGGGAATCCTAGTCTAACTCTACCTTTAATTGGGACCACAAAGAAATCAGTCAAGATCTGGCTTTGTGACCTTTAGTTGGTCACCCCCTTTCAGCCCATAAAAAGGTAGAAATAGAATTATAAGAGAAATAGAATTTCTTTGGAAATCATATTTAAAGTCTTGATTTCTCATAGAGAGGGGTGAAGTTGCCTCCCTCTCACCTGGGTCTAGGGAGGGGGGCTTCAGAGATGCTGTAGTTTGGGGAACACAATAGATTGGTGTGTAACACAATAGATTGGTGTGTAACTAATACTTGGGAAATCTGAAGAGCAGGAATCTTACTAAAAGACTTCGTGGTATCAGAATAGTGACCATGATAGGAAAAAATGTCCTTCCACCAACAGTGGACTCAGGTACATGCTTCACCTTAGATGGATGTAGTCAGGTAAAGGAGAGCTGACATGGATGTCATAGATTCTGCCTGGAAACACTACCTAGTGGCTGAACAATGAAGGTATTTTCAGAAGCCTAAAGACTGAAAGAGGAATTTTAAGTGACCAGCTAGAAAAGAAGTAGTTGACCTCATAAAGGGACCTACTGCTGAAAGATCCTCAGCAATGCTGTGAATGTGCTTGTATACTGGTGTGTAGGAAGAGTGCTTTCCTCTGAAGGTCCCATAAAGGGCCACACTAAAGGAAGTCAGGAAGCCAGCTTTAAACCTGCCAAGTCCTGGAGCCCACTCACAGTAACACTGAAGATATGCTTTCCATCCCTAAACCTTATGTCCTTTCCCAGTATTAACTCTGGAAGGTCAGACAGAGTCATTATTGAACCAGGGGGCTAGAGGGTAGAAGTGCAAGTGGAATATAGAGAAAAGCTGTGTTCCCTATCCCATTACAGGCTTCCTTCCTGTTGCAAACCCAAGCACGGGAAGGAAAGAAGCTTGAACTATATAAGAAGTTCAGCATTTTGATTATTTCAGGCAACTGAAATAGTCATCTAAATGACTGGAACAAGGTTATTCGTGTGATTCAAACTCGGCCAGAGGACTTCTGTTTCCTGAGAGCTGTTGATATTTGCCTAATATCATCTTAACCCATAGAACAGGTTTGATCAGGCAGTGGGAGAAGAGAGAAGCTATCTGCTGCAGCTCATGAGTGTCACTTGTTCTCTGTATTATGTAAATATCAGAAGATCATGTACTCTGTTTTACTATGACTAAGATATTGAATTGATTTACCCAAAGTTCATTTAAGCTGGCCTTCCAGAAAGTAACATTTGCAATAAATTATACTATTTTATATTATTATATCAGAAATTCAGACCCAAAAGACTTCAGTGTTGTTAAATCTCTTAAATCAGGGGTTAGCCCAATATTTTTTAAATGTGCTAAGTAGGACATGGACCTTTTTTTCTAGTTTAAAATCTTTACTGTAGATGTTGCTTTAGAGTTATCAGCATTTAAAGATAGAATAAAATATTTTAAAACCAATACAAAGATGGAATTTTTACAGCTCCCTTTGAGCACAAAGACTTTTCTATTCTACCCCATTAACTCCCAGGACACTTCTCTGGTGGCCCACATCTGAATGCCAAGGATTCACGGTAGGCCCTCCCCACTTCTGTTATGGAGAGACTTTTTTTTAAGTCCATAGGTTTATTTTTGTTTTATCTATTGTTTATTTTCTCTATATACCATATATGAGTGAAATCATTTGGTTTATCTTTCTCTGTCTGGCGTATTCACTAAGCATAATTCTCTCTAGGTCCATTCATATCTAGGTCCATTTCATCTTTTTTACAGCTGAATAGTATTCCATTGCATATGTTAATATATACCACCTCTCCTTTAACCATTTGTTAGTTGATGGCAGCTAGATTGTTTCAAGTTCATGGTCATTATAAACAATGCTACAAGAAACATGAGGGTATATGTGTATGTGTATATATTCTTGTATATTTTTCAGGTAAATACTCAGAAAGGGTGGGGGTAAATAGATCATATGGAATTTCTATTTTTAATTTTTTGAAGGATCACCATATTGATTCCCATAATGACTCAATCAATTTTCAATCTCACCAACATTGTATCCCTTCTCTCTACATTCTCTTGTGTCAGCTTCAGACCTTGCTTATTGGTGAGATGCCAAAATTTCATGGAGGAAATTATGTTTGAGTTCAGATTTCTGCAGGCATCTGTGTATCTAAGGGCCTCAGGAATGAATGACAAATGAAGACAACAGTCAGCACTCAGGGCCCATGTGACTTGGGTGATAGGTAAGAAGGGATCCTTTAACTATGAGTGGGCAGTTGTATCGTAGCCCTGTCAGTCGATATGGAGATGATGGTACAATACTTTTGGGCTTGAAAAGGTGAAGCTACATACCTAAGCCAAAGGATGAGGACCCTTCTGAGGGCTGTGTTGATACCCAGTTTCCATCACCTGAGGTACAGGCATGTTCTGAAAACCAGAAGTTAAATCCAAGAAGGAGCAAAGGTCGGGAAAGAGAATGAAGCCTCTAAGGATCAGCAGAACCAAGAGGTCACTCTTGAATAATGGAGGCCAAGGGCGATCATTGCCATGTACTGAATGACCAGGAGCTGGACAGGGAGTGACCCAGGCAAAGCCTTACTTCCCCTGGGGTTCATGAGATGGAAGGGACCCACCAATTTCTAGAGATCAGATTAACTAGATAAGGATTCCAGTTCTGTGCTTTGTAAACCAGACTGTTTATCTTCCACGTACTCTCTCTGTTTAGTTCTCTTTGTTCTTTCTCAGTGTTTGGAAGTGTTAGAAGTTCCAGCCTGTCTTAACTGTATTGAAGGGAGTCAAAGGAAGGGCTTTTGTCCAGAACTGTGCTGGACTGTATTAAAGGGGAAAGAGGCAGTGTGTGGTAACCTACAAAATAAGAGCAGATGGGCAGGATCCGGTTGCTTCAAGTAAGGACTGTGCTTTCATTGTTCAAATTTGGGGATTTTTTTCATTAAGGGAAGTGGTACCTCCTAGCAGGTGTGTGTTTCAATTTCTCCAGCTCTCCCATCATCCCTTGAGTATCAGGATTCTCTAAGGATATTCTCATGTGCTTTGGAGTGTATTTATCTCACTTCTTATTCTTGCTTTATTACCTTATTTACTGCATGCATGTGATTTCCAGAGTCTGCCAGCAAGGAGGCACAGACAACCACCCTGTCCCAAGTTTAGCAACTGATGTGATATCCAATTATTTTGGCTGGAGCCATCCTGGACTCTTGGATAGCCCAGAGGTCTAAAAGCAAAGATTTTGGTTAAGGATTCCAAGTTTGCTATAATCATGCTTTTAAAAATGAAAAATTGGGCCTCCCCAGTGGCGCAGCGGTTGAGCACTGGGTTGCGAAGCTGCCTGCAGCCTCTGCCGCGCTGGTTCGATTCCCGGCTGCTCCCCGGCCACTGGAGGAGGGTTCCACATGGTGCACAGACCTCTCCTGCTGCCTGCTGCTCCCCTCAGCAGTGTACTTCGGTCCTTCTGCCTGCTCTGCTCCCCACTCTGGCTCTGGTGAATTCTCTCACCCTCCCGCGCTTCTGACTGTACCCAGTGCTTGTATAAATAAAAAAATAAATCTTTAAAAAAAAATGAAAAATTGAGACATCTAGTTCAAATGTACTAATTGAGACAAAAGGACAGAATATATGAAATTGGGGCTGTTGTTAAAATTCAGGATGTTTATGAGGTCACTATATCCCAGGGCACAAGTAGGACAAGATTCAGGATCTATACTATATTTATAAGTTATATGTATTTTTCTTGATCAAGGGGAAAATAGACTTGAGCTATAAAGTATAGTGAAAGAGAAAAACACCAAAGTATTTCCCAATCCAAAGTAAAAACACTGCCCACAGGAGCAAGCTTGTTTGGTCAGCATGACCACAGGCCAGCATGAGTCTATTGGAAACTCACTGAGCTGAGTTTGTCTCCTAGTTCCTGGGTTCTTTCTCTGCCTCTGTTCTTTTAAGAACTTCTCTGTAGGGCTATAGGCCAGCTCCCTAGACCATGGTGCTTACATGGGGTGACTTGGAAATGAGCTAACTGTGGCTGGGCTGGAGGAGACTCCAGTCAGGGCCCTTTGCCATTTCTTGGCTCCTTAGAGCTCCTGCTTGCTGCTAGCCTGCCCTGGGCCAACTCTGATTCCTCAGCTTTTGCAGACCTTCTCTTGGTAACTATTTTGGCTCTGTGTGATTTCCTCTGGCTCCTCCTACAATATGAGTGTCCTCTTACTTTCTATTGGCTACTCACTGGGGCCCCAGGCCCACGGCTGCCCTGGACTAGCACCTTCAGAGATGTTGTGCCATTAGTGAATGGTGACCCACTTCAGCAACAACAAGGGCTCCAACCTGCTTCTCTGGTTCTTTTCTTCTTCTTCAGTTTCTTCTGTCTCTTCAGGCTCCTCAGGACTCTCACTCTTCTGTTCCTCTTCCTCCTCTTTTAGGTCTTGAAACTCTGGAGTCTTCTTTAGACCTTCCTGGTATCTGGAGGGCAAAAAGGAAGAACTGAATTTGTAGGGTAGGCCTGGGGCATCCTTTCCTGAGTTCCTAGAGGAGGGGGCCTGTGCACCTCTAATTTATTACACACTTCCTGTGGTTCCACACAACAGGAAAAAGCTGGGAAGCTCCACTGAGTACCAGGTGGCTCATGTCAGTGCAGTTTCCCCTCACTCTTCAGTCATCCTTCCTGTTTATGTGAAAGTGTGACGGAGGTGGGGGGGGTGGGTGGAAATGTGGGTGCAGAATCTCCTGACTCGGGATTCTTATGCTACAAAACACTCCATAGGGATGAGATTCCATTTGCTCCCTGGTAACTGTGGAACTATAGTTCTTCACCTATGCAGTGGAGAGGCCAGCACCCATCTTAGCATGAGTTGCAGCATTTTGAGGAAGTACCAGGCACACAGCTTGACTGAAGGAGGGTAAAACCATCACACAGGCTTGTTGGAGTCTATGGAAGTGACAGGCACATAGCTTGACCTAAAGAGCTACTCAATGAATGTTTACAAGGCCAAAGGAGTTTACCCTGACACAATCTGATGATAGAGGAAAATTGTGGGTAAAAAAAATAGACTCCAAGAGAAATCCTCTGATTTCCTTTTACCAGGATCACTAAAACCCTACGCACACACTTTTTGCTTGCTATCCTAGCTTACTCAGTGTCTAAGGCCAGCATAGTTTGGCTAGGGCAGACCCACCAGAGTGTTTATGACTGTCACACAGAAGCCCACAGGTTCCCTGTCAGTGGGAAGCTGTATCTCCTTTAGGAGCTGCAGGGCAGGGAGGAACTCAGGGTGGGAGGCCTGTTCAGAGGTAATTCTCTACTTGCCCTGGGCTTGGGCCCTGCTCGGTACTCTGTCCCATCTATTAAAGATGCAGTTGAAGCTCCATTCAAGAGGGAGCAGTTGGATGTTAAGGGGACTCTATTTATTGGTGGAAGGGATGGCCTGGGAAGTTCTAAGAAGCAGCGTTACAGCTGCTTCTGCAACTATGTGTATTGTTGGCAACAACATGACTACCCTCAGCCTGTGTCAGGAAGCCTCAAGCACTATCAAGAGGAACCCAAACAGGGCTCCTGATTTCTAGACCATCCTGAGCAATGGTGTTCTGATGGCTTTTTGCCTAAAAAGAAGGCAGTCTAGTGACCCTCTTGTCTAACCACACCCTCTTGCCCTACTTCCCCCTATCCTTCCTGTGGAAAAGTACTGCTCTTTCCTATGTAGTTCCCTCCTGAGGCAGACATGTCCTGGGGCCACTGGTTGCTTCCCTAAATCCTCTAAGAAACAGTAAAGGCCGTGGGAAGGTGTCTTCTGCGATTTGCCAGGTGACCTTGGGGCAGCGAGGTCTGACTCACCCTGTGTTGAACGCTGCTTCCTCCAGCCTGGCCTTGGGCTCCTGGCTGATCTCCTGCAGGCAGCTCAGGGTTGGCATGGGAGCAGAGGGTTCACAATCTGGGTCCCCATTTGTTTTTCCACTAGTGAGAAGAAGGAAGTACAGGGGATCATTTCAGGGAGAGATTGGGCATCTGACAGCCAAACCATTTCTGACTAAAAGAGGGGACACTTTTTGGACAGAATTCATTTTTTAAACCTTCAATCATGAGACAAGATTTTATAAAGACTCTAGTCCAGGAATCCTCCCTAGACCCCCAAACATCAAACCCTACAACTCCTCTTTCCTTTGTGCTCCCAAAACTAGCTTTAATCTTATTCTAGGAGATGCTGTGGATGCACAGACTACTCCTAGGAGTGCCACAGCACTAAGATGAGGAAGATAGAGGTGGGCCAGATTGTTTGGGTCATTCCACTTCTGTAGTTCATCGTTTGCTTCATGACCACCACTCATTCTTTCAAACAACTATTGTGCACTAAGTCTCAGCCCCTTCTAAGGTACCATGGATACATTAGAAAACAATACTTTTCAGCAATCAGAAGAGATAAATTCATGCCATTTGCAGCAACATGGATAGAGCTGGAGGGATTATGCTAAGCAAAATAAGCCAGAAGGAGAAAGATAAATATTGGATGGTGTCACTTATATGTGGAATATAGAAAAAAAACGAAGGATCAGACAAAGACAAACATTAAAACTGACCCTTGAAAGCTGACCATAGCTCTGAGACATCCAGAGGGGGGATAAAGAGGGAGGAATAAGAAGTGGGGGTAAGCACAGTATACTATGATGGAGGACTATAGGTACTTTGGTGATAGGAAAACTATGGTGACTACATCTGAGGGGGGATATTCTATACTGTCAAAACACTGACAAGGATGTAAAACAATGGTACTTCAATAAAATAAAAATAAAAAATAGAGAATTGATAAAAATCAATAAAGAAAGAAAAGAGTCAGTCTTTGTCATTGTGGAGTTTAGCAGTCGAGAAGCCCCCAGAGGAAAAACACTGCATTTAATTATAAATTGTCATCATTTTAATGAAAGAAGCAAACTGTTCAGGGGCAGAAAATAACAAGGGGGAGCATCTATCTGGGTTGAGTAGTCAGGGAAAAGCCTCTGAGGTTGGAAGAAAGCACAGCTTTCTTATTCTAGGGGATGCTATTGGTGGACATGTTGCTGCAAATGCCACAAATTTATCTTTTTTGATTGCTGAAGAGTATTACTGTTTGATGTATCCACATTAGAGAGGGCCTGTGGCTTAGTGCTCAAGGAAGGTCAAGGAGTGAGACACAATTGAATAGGGATAGAAATGATCCAGTAGAGGGATGAGAGGATGGGAATGAAACCAAGGGAGCAAAACCTTTGAATAGGGAAGTATGGACAGACCTTAAAAAGGCAGAGAAACATCTTGGTTATAACACAGCAAGGAAGTAGATGGAGATGGTGGGGGAGGGGAATAGGGTGAAAGAAGATGAGAGGGCTCCCATCTGACAGCTTACATTTTCTCCACAAAGTGGAAGACAAGATCATTTTCTGACAGTGAGCGGTGGGGAGCACTAGGAAGGTTTGATAAAGGAAGGCTTAAGAAAGTCAAAGGGGAGAGAGAGCGAGAAAGCAAACAGGCTAGGAAATCACAGAGGGATGCTGGGCAGTGCCCAGATCCCCCTTGAGGTATGGGATCATCATGAATTGAAGTATTCCGATGGCCAGGGCTTTCCTAGATTCCCTGCAACCCACCTAGGTGTCCTGAGTTCCAGTGGGAGCACTGTCTTGGAAGAGTCCTCAACAAGGCAAAACCATGAGCAGAGATTTTCTTCTGAAAGGTTAGTTGCCACCCTTCCCAACTCTGACCGGCCTTAGATGCGTGCTTTCTCACTTCTCTCTCTTGGCATCAGTTTCTCAGGTCTTAGTTTCCTTAGATTTTATAAAACTTATATTTCATCAGGCTGGAAGTCAGAACCCATTGTGAACCAGAAAGATAACTTCTAAAAATATCAGTTATTCATAACATTTCTCCTTTTGCAAATTACATTATCCACTCCCTTCCATGTGGCAGTTTCCTCCAATGTGCAGTTTCCTATTTGTCCAAGTGACTAGCATGAGAGCAGAAAAGCAGAGCTACAGCCAAAGGCAGGGAAAGTAATTCTTTTATAAAATATACTTATATATTAAAAATTAAACATTGTTACCACACTAAATTTACCTGTAACTGTCAACCTTGAAATTAATGATAAACATGTATGACACGGAACAGAGTAAGTTAGAGAAGAAATTGAGACAAATCTGGGTTCAAGTCCCAATTTCAACAGATGCAAATGACATCACCTTTTTAAACTTTGGATTTCTCAACTATGAAATGAGGGTGATAATGTGTATTTGATGATGGTGGTGTAAGAATTACTGAAAAAATGTAAGTGCACTTTCTGGACTATGGTATTCAACTCTGCCCACCCCCTCACCCCTTTTGGCTTCTACTCCACACCCAGTCAGTCACCAGGGTCTTTCATGGTTGCTCACAAGAGCGTCTTCAAAAATGGGAGCTCCTCTTCTCCCATGACAGCATCCTCATACTGAACTTCCTATTCTTCCAGTTGGAGGGTTTGTTAAGAGGGTAAGAGCATGAGTTCTGCTATCTACTAGCTGTGTAACTCAGGCAAATGATGATTTCTTTGAACTTCAGTTTCCTCATCTATAAAGCAGAGGTATTAACAGTAGACCTAGCTCATGGGATTATTGTCAGTATTAAGTGATATCATTTATGTAAAAGCAATTAGAATAGTACTTGGCATATAGCAGGCATTCGGTAAATAATAGCTATCATCATCATCATCATCATCACTCCTTAACTAACATACATTCTTGCTTCAAAACCAGGAATGTTGTTAACCTCCTGTTTATCTAATTAACTATATACTCTTCAGATTTTACTTTAAAAGTCAGTTCTTAGAGGAAGCACTTTGAGCCTCCCCTGTGCTCCCAGCCGCATATCAAACATGGCTAAAGACACTCATTTTCTTGGTGATGAGTGATATCGCTCATCACAGTGTAATATAGAGACTGCTGCCCAGCTATCGTTCCTTTAGATTGTGAGTGACTTTTATGCATTGTAGGTGCCTAGTCCTGGTGATTAATTGCTCAAAGGAATGAAAGAATAAAAGAGTACAAATAGCTTTCTACTTGTGCTCTAGAGCTTTCTTCTTTTTAATCTTTTAAGACTAACTTTAAGTAGCCCTCTATCCTATTCTCTAAATCTACAGGCTTCTAGACCCTTGTTGAGGGAAAAGCAGTTTACTATGAAATGACCCACAACAACAAGGGTCTGAATTCTTTCAAATCACACTGGGCTGTGCAATCAACTCTCAGACATTTGCTTGTGAACTAGTCACAGGCAATTTGATCTTCTTATCCTTTCATGTGCTTGGCCAGTTTTTCCTGCTTAGTCCCTCTATGCTTAGAGAAATTTAAAATAATGTTAACATCAACTGAAATACAACAGTATAAACAGCAATGTATATTAAATTATTGTAATGCATTGTTTCTCTTTAAAGTGGCTAGAATCAACTGTGTTTGTATTAGAATGGAAGATAAGAATTTATTTTCACCCAAATTGTCTCAGGCAATGTACTAAATATTTCCCATTTCATGAATTCAGATAAAAACCACATAGCACCTTTTACAAATCCAAGTGGGGGAAGTTCCTGTTCTGAATCTGTCCGCCTTTGAATACTCACTTCCTTTTTGTAGCCATCTTTTTATAAGCAGGGTGTATTTCTAACAGGCAAGTCTGCCATGACATGAGTATTGTTATGGTGATCTCTCTGTGTAGCGCATAAAGAGTGAGCTGCAGAAATTTTCCTGGCGCCTCTTGCTTGACTTACCTTAATCCTTACCCTATCCCTTTCTCTCCTTGTTCTAAACCCTTGGAATTGTGATGACACCATTGAACCTCATTCATTGCCACTACCAATTTGGGGTTACTACTTGCTGCCCCCACGTTTGGACCTCACTTTCTCTACCAACTTTCTCTACCTCATTTTCTCTAGCCTAGGTTCTTGATGATCCCCACTGCCTTAGAAGTTCTCAAGTGGTTTGATTATTAGTGCAACAGAGTCTAGGCCTTTGCCTATCTGTTGAAGAGAAAGGGTACATTGATCATCTACCTTGACCAACTCTGTAGGTAGAGAGTTTGGAATGGAACCTTATTGGGGGGCCTCCTAGAGAAGGTATTGGTATGCCCAAAGGCAGGATTGGAAAGGAGAATTTTAGTGTCTCTCACTCAAGGCATCAAGAGACCAGTTATAGAGAGATCTAGAGATCACGGACCAGAACTTCATTGTCTGTGGTATTGAGGGACAATTCATAGTATCTCAGGTCTTGGTACTAAGTAAACTTAGTTACTTTCACATGGTTGGTAGTTTGTCATCTCTATAATTTCCTTGTAGTGATCAGGAACATGAGGAACAACAACAACAAAAAAAATACCCTGTATAACATGAAGGACCTGTAAGCTTCTGTAAGGTGAGGTGGCAAAGCAAGGAATTGATGAGCAAACTTCAAGACTAATGTGGGGTGAGTCAATGAGTGATAGGTTGGTAGTTACATATACTGAAAGGTAAGGAAAATTGAATGGGGGCAGAGAGCTTGGGGGCTTTTCTGTACTGTAAAGGGGCCATTCCTTGACATTCTTTGCCAGGTCAAGCAAAACTGTTTAGCAGCAGTAAAAAAATGAAGGACTAGACCCATATCAACACAAGGAAGAAGGAAGAATAGAGGTGTAGGTTTTATCAAGGGAGAAAAGACAAAAGGGGAAATTTCTGAGAGGCGGCAGCTGTGATACAGATGTTTTCTAGCAAGCAAATGAAAGAATTTAAAAGGCAAACTAAAAACTCCTCTGAGTGTGTAGAAACAGCCTGCTTTGCTTTGGCCAAGGATGAAAACACTTGCAAACTGTATAGATGCTTAGAAAAGTTAGGTCCAGCAGCACTGTTGGTTGCCAATTCAATATTCATTCTTTCTACTTTCTAATAGCAGTATGATTTTGTTCAGGAATTTACTCTTCTTCATGGGCTAAATTTGCTTTGTGGCAAGCTGACCCTCTCTCCCCATCTACAGAGGGTACATTAAGTCTGTAATGGTAATCCCATTCCTAATACCTGTGAAGGGTTTAGAAAGGGAGCATATTCTATATTTGCCAACCAGAAGGAAGACCGAGGGAAGCGTTCAACCTTAAGAAGAGTGGGCAGAGACAGTCTCTTTACTCCTCTACATACAGTCATGTCTGGATGGAATACAGGGAACTAATAGCCACTTGCCACAAGATTGTTGAAGTCAATACTCAAAGTGGGCAGTCCAAGAATTGTAGAGAGGCCACGCTGGGGCTCGCTACACCACATTTGGAGCAACCCTACCTCAGGATTTACTATTGAAGCCCCTTTGAATTGGGGCTTTTTTGCCTAAAGAATACCAGCTAACAGAGAATGTTTCATTGTTTCTGGACTCTTCTTAGATTGAGGTAAACTTGGCCCCCGCAGAGTATCTTTCTGGTCCAAGAATTTTTCAAACTGGATCTGAAATCTTTGTAAGTCATTTCCCCTAGAATTTAATACGTGTTTACATTGCATTTTGGGGATAAGATGGGAGGAAGGAAGTACATTGGGGAAATTGTCCTCCGGAGATTCCTGAAGTTAAAAGGAAAATTGACAGACTTACTTTTCCAAAAGTGCAGGCAGTGCTGAGCTGACAGGTGGGTTGCCTTTCCCATTGGGTGATTCTGACTGAATGGAAAACAAGAGACAGATAATTGAGGATCCACTATGGAAGGAAGAGGCGAGAGTTGTTAGGTCTTTGATGGTGCTGGGCCGGGGCTGCTACTGCTTCTTTTCTACCCTACGCCCATGCTTTTTAATCTAGTTCAGACATTGGTCTATTTCTCAAACCTTTCCTGTCCTCTTTTCCTATGCGTACTTTGCCTCTGGAGAAGGCAACTTGCACCTTCCTTATCCTTTTCCGAATGTCCTTGAGCAAAGACCAGGGGGTTACATTTTGAGATTCCGTTTTGAAGGAAAGCTCTTTTTCTGTCTCTTGCTCATTGACTTGGACAGCATATCAGTGGACCTCCTACTAGCACAAGGTTCCTGGAATAGATTCGTCCAAGTCCATCACTGCTCTGAAGATAGCACTCCAAGCATGATTCTCAGGAGGTACCTGGCATTATGAAAACCTCAAGCTACCATAAAATTCTTTATAATAAATTTTCCAGGACTAGCATGCTGTTTGTTGCAATGGATTTGGTTTAAATAACAATTCTGTTGTTTCTCAATTCTGGCTGCACGTTATAATCACTTGGGAAAGATGTTTAAAAGTATTGACCCAATACTGAATCTTGGGGTGGAACTGGGCCTGGGATGTTTTAGAAGTATCCCACATAGTTTTAATGTATATTCCTGGTTGCCTATCCCTTAAGAAATATATATTTAGAAACCACATGTATATATTTAATGTAGTATTAGAAATGCCTCTTAAAATACATTAATCAACCGTCCCCGAGACTCTTTTAAATATTATTTTTCAGGATGTTTTGTTTTATGGGGTAATTTGGGAGCTTATGTTGATTTCATGGATGATTAAAATACCCAAGTAAGGAAGAGGCAAAAGAAGAAAATGCTGTCTATTGGTACAACAATAGAGTTTGAATCCACTTTACCTATAAAGATTGTATCTTTATAGAGTAGTGTTGATTACAGAAAGGGAATAAAGAAACAAGTGGAGAAAGAATTAGAAGAATTTTAGATAGGATAAACCAATTTACAAATGCCAGGGATGTAGAAAATATTTTGTTACATAGGAATTTTGCTTTAAAAAAATTGAAATAAGTTTTTTTGATTATTGGTAATACATTCTTCTTATAGAAATATAAAAAGGCATCAAGAGGAAAGTAAAAATTGCCTTTCGTTTTACCATTGCCCCAAGAACGCCATTATTAGTAGTTTTACATATATTCTTTCAGAATTTTCTATGTCTACACACAGAAAAACCATCTATTTTTGAACAACAAAACAGACTTCTACTATATATGCTGGTTATCTTGTGGTATACACTACTTTTATTGCATTTTATTAATAATATATTATAGACATTTTCCATATCAATAAATATTTGTATTCTAAGATTCATTTCTAATTGTGTTTTTAGTGGTTGCATAGAAAACCTTTAAAAAGTTTTTCATAATTTAACCAATCTCTTAATAATGACCTCTAGCAGTTTTTTTTTTCTTTCAGTTTTTCATTGTTATAAGCAATCTGCAATTAATCAAGCAGAATAATACTAGAATTAAGAATTTAAACTCTGAAACCAGAGATCTGAGGGTTGGTACAAAGCTCGGCTCTTTTACTTACTACACAATGTAACCTGCAACTACTTAAGCCCACCAAAGAGTGGGTAAAAATCACACCCAACTTGGAGGGTTGTGTTTTAAGAATGGAAAGAGATGACTTTGCAAGGAACACTGCTGTTTGAGGATAATCTTTTCAGGGCAATGGAAGACAGTATGCCTGTCTATCTTGAGCCTTTTGAGCCAATAGCTTGAAATCTGTACTGGAACTTTTCATTTCCTCATTGATCCTGTCCCAGATAGACCATATCCATTGATGTGAGTGTGAGGGAGAAGCTGAATAGGGCTGGGAGGCAGGCATCATCATACTTACCAAGGCTGGTAAGGAGGGGATAGGTGATGAGCTGGAAGACTGGCCGGGCAGGTTCAGGGCATTAAACTTGGGAACCACGGCAACACTGACCCTCCGGCGGGGCATGTTCTGTGGAAGACAAGTGACCAGGTCCACTGTCATGGAGGGAGAAGCACCCACAGTTCAGAACAGCTTGGAAATACCTACTTGTTTCTAATACTATAATAACATGCACTGGATATTTTGACTTTGGGGTAATAATGGTGTTGGGGGTTAGTGTGAACACATTTGACACAAATTTTCTGCTAGTAGTAAATGAATTCTATATATATTCCTATTTTAGCTCATCAGATCCTAAAAAAAAATGAACAGAAATGACCCTCAGGCTCTGGGTAATACCCTAGATACAGTATAAAAACTATAGCAATACCAAGGTTTATGCATCATTTCATGTCCATTTAAGGGATGGTACAGAGAAACCATGACCAAGGGAATGCTGAAGGATGAACTAGTAAGTGTGATAGTGAATTAGTGTCACACTGTGGCTCCAAGAATTGACGACTTCCTCGGTAACTGTGGAAACTTCTGTCATATTTCCTCAGAGACCCCTGGTATCCCCATGAATGTGCATACCTTTCCCAGTGTGAGGGACATGGACCGTGCTGTACGAGGAACCCCATCTTCTGCAGCAGGAGGGAACAGAAGAGAGAACTCAGGTAAGTTTTCAGAGTAAGCTCCAGGCAGAAACAGGCAGAAACCAAGCCAAGGTATCTATTGGTCAGAACTGGCCCTCAAGGGATGGTCCAGTGGCCTAGGTGTTACAGACACTGAATTTGAGATTTCACTCTCTGAGATGATCATCTGCAGAGTGGGGGCTTCATCCTTTTACTTTTATGGGCACTCCTCTAAGAACCATGAGAAATTCCAGTCTTGGAACTCAAGTCTCTAACTGGCACCATTGCACAGCCTCTGGTTAATGCCCTGGATAGTATGTGAAAACTACTCCTAGCAATACCAAAACTTATTGGATCATTTCTTTCTCATTCAAGGATGTACAGTCAGGGAAATGAGGAACAAGGAAGATGTGGTGGTAGCACAGAATGGAAGTTCATTGACATGAGTTTCAATATGTCCTCTACAAAATAATTCAGAACCAAGGAAACCAGCACCCCTGTGGATCCTTGTTAATGGCAGATTGTTTTCCCGTGTGTTTTATAACTATATTGTGAACAACTCTTCAGCGAGGTTTTGTTTAGAAGAATTCTGTATTTGCTAGGTGAAGGGTGTGTCTCTCCTGAGTGGCTTTATATTTGTTTCTGATAGTGTTCCAAAGGTACCACTGTGATGTTCTCAGATTCTCTGTATACTGTTTCACCACTTCAGTCTTGGTATGTACTTTTGGGGCATGCACTTTTCCTTTGAGGAAGGAAAAAGCACTTTTTCCCTTCTAGAGTTTTCCTTGATTTGTTCCACTGCTGGTTGGTGATAGTTTCTTTCATGTTCAAGTAACGATGCAGTCCTTGGAAAGTCAACTTTCTATGGAAGTCTCAGAGTCAACTCTCTGCTAAGGCCTCATCTCACACTGCATTCAAGTGCAAAAGTCCACTGCCCAAATAATGAAGGCTGGCTCTTGTCCCCAGCGAAGCTGCAGGGTCAGCTTGGTTTCAGTTCTCTTTTCTTTTCTTGTATCTGAGTATTTCCATTTCTTTCTTGTGGATTCAGCTATTCCTTAAGAGTAATGTTTGCTCTATTTTATCCAGCAGAAATGTCTAAGTCTTTGTGGTCATTTTTTTTTTCATATTTTCCAGTCAGCCAAAGTAGCAGAATTTAAAAAAAAAATTCTTTATCTATGGACACTTTACACTGATTAATAAAATACAAATATTACAAGTGGGCAAAAGACAGAATTAGAAAATTTACTTAAGCAGAAATACAAATATCCAAATACAAATACTTGGAAAGGCAAAAAATACAAATTAAAACTGATGAGATACAATTTTGGCCCATCAAAATCATATTTTTTTTTAAAGAAAGGACAAAAACCAGTTAAAGGTGCACTGACTGGAGAATTATTGTAGCCCATTAAATGGAAATATCAAAGGTTATTTGAAAATAATTTGCTTGAAGAGTCTTACAAATATTTCTTTTCCCTGAGCTAATATTTACACTTGTAAAAATTTATCTTTAGGAACTAATCCAAAGCCCAATCAGCATGCTTCATATTCAGAAAAAAAGAATAGGTGCTATTTTATCTTTCAAATGTGAATCACCTCTCCTAAAATCAGAGATATTTTTCTTTCTGGATAGTCTTCAGAGTCTTAGCATAGACTGAAATTACTGGAAATCATGCAAAGTCTTGCTTAAAAGCACACTACTAGGAAATGGTCACAGAGTATCTGATGGAAACACCTAGTGGCTGGGTGTGTGTTCCAAGTTGAGGTATTGCGGAGTGGAAACAAATGTCTGAAAAATACTGATTCACCCAATACCACCTCCCTTTTGTTATAAGCACTTTCTCAACCTCCTAACTGAATGTGGGACCCCCATGGAAATCTGCTTATTTCTGTTACAGCACTGGTTACACTGCTCTGCCCTCCTCACAGGCCGGATGCATCTTAGGGTTAGAAACTATGTTTGCTTTACCTCTATGTCCCCCTGTTATGTGGGATACACCAAAGGGATCAATGACTATCAGTAGGGTGAATATATAAGATTCACTGGGCTCACACCGGAACTCCTGGGTAAGATGGTTCATAGGAGACCTTGCACCTTGTAGGACAATAATGAAGAGTCCATGTATTAGGATTTCTTTGGTGGCAACTTCTTCAACTTCCAGTACTGACAGAGCAGTGTTTTTTTAGAGGCCCAGATGCATGCGGGTCAGGAGACTTGCTGCCAAGATCCAAAGCAGACAGCCTGGAACATATGTACACTGCCTTTGGGCTCTGGGAAGCATCAGTGATATTCCCCAGGAAACTTGTGAAACCTCCTGTTTATAAAGATCTCTCCATCTGTTAAACTTTCTGTACTTTCCCTTCTCCTACTCTCAGTAACACGGATGTTTGCATTCCACAGGGATTCCTGTTGTTAAAAGATCTGTTTTCTCCTGCTAACATCACTCTCATCAGCCAGTGCCCAAACCCGGCAGCTTCCAAGGATGAATCCTGTCCTCTCCTCCTGGACTGTTACAGGAGCCTCCTGACTTATCGCTCCACATTTCAATGACTGTACACCCCTAAAGCAATGCCTATCTGAAGTCAGAGCAATTTTTCTAAAAATAAAATCTGGCCATGTCAGTTAGGGAAAACTCACCACCACCTCCCTACTGCCTAGAGAAAAAAGGCCAGAATTGTTAGCATGTTTGGCATGTGGCCCTGGCCTACCAAGTCTCAATGTCAACCTGTCATCATCCCACTCCAGCACAGCAACCACATCAAACTGTTTGTTTCATGGTCTCCAACCTCCACACCTCTGTACATGCTGCTTCCTCCTCCTAGGATGTATTTCCCCTGTTTGCTTGGAGAACTGTTTTTATTTTGAAACACTGCCCCGATGCCATGCCTCTGTAAAGCTTTTCTTGACTCCCTCAAGCAGGATCAAGTGGTTCTACCTCTGTGTTCCTTTAGCTATTTGTGGAGAATTAAAAAAAAAGAAGAATTATTTCCTTTAAACATTCCTCTTGTCTGTGAGTCTGCTACTTATCTCAGTGTTATCTCCTGTGGTCAGGCCCTCACTCCTCCCCCAACCTGCTCAGACTTCATCTCACCTGAACTGCTGTAATAGCAGCTTCATAGACCCCACTCTCTTGTTTTGTTCCAGTATTGTATTTGCCACACCATAGTCAAAGGGAACCTTTTAAACTACATAGGTGATCATGTGATTTCCCCAGTTAAAATCTTCAGTTGAATGTCTAGTACTTTGCAGGAGAAAGTCCAAATTCATTAGCAAGTGCTACCTAAAAGGGACCCCCAAAGAACAAATGCTATAGGATCCAGGGTTTGACACTTGCACAAAGTAGGGAGAGTTTGTGCTGCATGTGGACTTCCTGTCAGTCAGCTACTTTGATTCATTGTGACAGGATTTATTTGGGGTCATTCATAGTGTCTCCTGGTTCCAGGCCCCCAGGCTCACTGGAACTGCTGCTTTGAGGCACCTGTGGGCAGCATTGATCAAGGCAATGAGCCATGCTCAACCTGAAACATATCCTGGGGCTGCCCTGATAGAAGTTACTCTAGCCTAGAGCCATCGGGAACTCACATTGTAGAGCCAAGATGGGGATAAGGGCCTAGTTCCTTACCAGAGGGGCCACAACTGCGGCTTGAATTCTGATTTGCAAGTTTTTTAAACTCCATGAGCTCTGCATGGTCCTTCTCATACGTCCTCTTCAAATTCTCCACATACTGCATCATCACTTCTGTGGCTTTCGACATACGCTTTTCCTATAGGGAAGGACAGTGGGAGCACATAGGGGAGTTGGAGGAAAGAAAGGCTCAGGGGCTTTTGTTTGCTGTGAGTGAGGCTCTGGGATGGCATAATCAAAAGGATACAGGGAGCAATCAGATTCTGCCCCGGAAAGTTTGCTGTCCTCCATGTGAGCTGAGAGGCACCTGCACTTGTAGATGGTTAGAGCGAGCACAGCCTCAGGAGATGAGAAGCAGAAGAGCATCATCTCTGCTTGCAGAGAATGGGTTGAGGAGGCCTTATGGAGACTAAGTGAAGTGGATGTACAGTGGGGGCTGAGTCTGGGCATGTCGATGTGAGCAAAGGTACAAAGAGTGTTCAGGCTAGAGCAAAGGTCCAGAGGCAGGAAATCAGCAGACTTGTATCTAAGTGAGGATTTACATTTTAGACAGGAATTCATTGGAGAGTAAGAGGGGTGCTATCTAGAATTATGCTGGGACAATAGGCATGTGCCAGGACTGTCTGAAAACCAGGAAAGCACAGGTCAGGAATTAGAAGTGGTTGAGTTTGTTTAAGTTAGGGCAGAGTTGTGAAGGACTTTGAATGTTAGACAGAAGGATTTGGACTTAATCTGAAGAAAAAAAGGGAGCCATTAAATGTATGAAAGTAAGAGGGTGGTGCAATCTGGTAACTGGCGGAGAATATACTAAAGGGAGTGAGACTGGTGGCAGTAAGAGCAATAAGGAAAGACAGGAAGGGTGGCTGACCCAGTCCAATGGAAACAGAGAGAAAGGCAAGGACCAAGACACGGAAGGAAGCTAGGGGTGGGGAGCCATTTGGAGAAAGACAAAGACTGGGGTGAGCAATGCATGGACTGAGAAACATGTCTGGGAGGGCATTACAGAATGAAGAAGACTTTTCTCTACTTACACTGCTTGGATCTCTCAAAGAGCCTAGCTCAGGGTCTACTGGCCACAGAGGGACATGCTCAGTGACTTGCTTAGAAAATGTCCCTGCAGCCATGAGCTCAAACTAGCCACTTCCCTCTATCTCTCTCTTTCTTACTGCTCCCAGCTGGAGTGATTTCCTGGGTGTTGCTGCTGAGTCAGGTGCCCTTTTCCTAGAACACCACAAGGGTGGGACAGATCAGTGGCGTGTCCTTCCTTCATTCTACAAGAACTGCTCAGGGCTTCTCCCCAGGAACATCTCACTTACTCAGCCAATACACAAGACACAGATCCATGGTGATAGCAATACTGATGATATCTCTGTGCTTTACAAGTATCACAGTAATGTTACATGCAGATATTATAATCATCCCCATTTTATAATTGGAGATGATTAGTCTGATAACTAACCCAGGATCACAGAGGAATTCCTGGTGAAGCTAGCATTGGAACTCGGGCAGTCTGACCCCACCACACCAAACTGATCAGGGTGGCACTCTGCATGCTTCAGGATTTCAAGTGACTGAGAGGGAGTCAGAGCATTGCTCCCTGTATCCCTGCACCCACCCAGCTCTGCCACTAATTCAAAATAACCTCATTAAGACTTCATGTCCTCATCTCGGGAAAAGGATATTTACTTTACAGGGTTGCTATGAGGATTAAATGAAACAAAGTCATTCTTAAAACATTTTTGCCAATTCATGGGAGTTGATTAGATGCTTTGTGAGAAAAATGACAGCCTAGGTGTGGGGTTGGGGGTTGTGGTCTTGAATCAAATGCACTTGGGAAATACGTAGGTAAAGTTAAACAGGGTTCTTCACTATAGAACTTCTCAAAGCCTTGATGAAGCCAGTGTGCATTAAAAATCTCCACAAAAGATATCCTTCCATCAAAAATATCTGTAAAACCCCCATGATAATATATACAGATGCTTGGCAGGAAGGAAGCCATCCATGAATAATCACTGTAGTTGTTGCTGTTCCCATTTTGCTCAAATTTCTGAGAACTGAAAGGCTTACCTGGCGGACAGCCCCCACCATCTCAGCCCGGCTGGAGAGGCGGGCAGCCAGGCGGTGCAGGACAGCAATGTCCTCCAGCAGCTTCTGGTAGGTCTCCCGGTGCTCACAGTGGTGCCAGAGTGAAGCTGAGGACTGTGGAGTGAGAAGGAGCATCACCTGGGGTCCTTCCATGTCAAACCTCGACTTGGGCTCTTACATGACAAATCCTAGTTCCTGTTCTGGTGGACAGAAATGGTCTCTACAGGGCCTGGGCTACAGGTTTCTGCTGAGGATTAGGGAAGTCTGAGGTGGACAGTATCTCAGGCTGGCCTGAAAGGAGGGAATCACATCCAGGCCTCTGATCCCCATGGAGCTCCCTCTGCCATCCCAGGTCACCTAGCTCCTCCTGAGTAGCTCCCAAGGGCTCAGAGGCTGAGGTAATCAGGCCTTCAGCATCTCTGTCTCACTTCTCCAGATTTCTGAGGAAGTCTGTCTGGTTTAGGGCCTTGCTCTGATTTCTCATTTCAGGAGATTCTACTTGGTGACTAAGAAAAACAGGACTCCCAGCATAGTCCTTGGAGACAGTTCCACAATTACCGTAATAGAAGCTTTGAAGTTTTCCAGTTCCTTCTCTGTATTCTCTTCTGTCAGGTTACGTTCCCTTTCGGCCTGATTAATCCTAGATTCCAGGGTATAGCTGTCATTTCTAAAGGCCAAGGACAGTTGTACAAACACGTTCTGTTGGGAACAAGTGTGGGAGAGGTGCTAGAAGTTATTGCCAGAACAAGACTGCAGGTGTGTTTCTTATGTATTTTACATCAGCTCCTGAAACCAGTCACCAAACAGCCTTGCATAGGGAAAGTTCTGCCACACAGTACATTGCACAAAAGATGGTGATTGGTAACTTGGGGCCCATGCTATGTTCTTCCCAGACCAGAAAACCAACTGCATTTTACTGAAAAATAATGAGAATGACACTTTGCTCATCCCTGAATTTTAAGAAGATAATATCCTGTATTTGGGTTTAGATAAACTCAGGCCAATGCAGCTGATTGTGTAAGCAGTTTGGATTCATGTTAGGATTTATTGCATGAGAATTTTGGAGGATTCACTTGAAACCAATGTATTTAAAGAAAGCCTATTAGAGACTTTAGCCTCACTGACGTAAAGCAAACTTCAACCAGCATTTTGCCTGAGTATTCCTGAATATTCTTATATTGAAAGTTTTTACACGCTGCCAGGAGATTAAATAAGGACAGGCATGACTCTGTTAGGAAATATTTTTTGGAATAAATATTCCATGCCAAAAATGTAGCCTGCAAGAATGAACTTTGAAAGGTGGTATTGATCAGACATGGAATTACAGGAATAATAGGAAATTATTAGGCGGGAGAAATAGAAAGATGTACTCCACACATGACACAAGCAATGGCCTTTATGTTTACAGCCTTCTTCTGCCCTCTCTGAGTCAAGTGTTCACAGATTTATACCTGGAGAAGTGAGCTCACTCTTCCTGAGCTGCTGAAGTTCATGTAACATGGCCCATGGTGGGCATATATCTCTAGTTAGAGAATAGAATGCCCTGAATTGACCCAAAATAGATAATGATGGCAATAGGGAAAGCCACTCTTTACTGAGCACCTACTATGTGCCAGCACTGCCATGAGATTTATGTACCTTATAGCTCATTGATTTCATTAACAACTCTCTGGGATAGAAACTGTCATGTCTTCTTTATGGGTAACGAGACTAAGAGCAGAGAGGTCATCAACTCTTGGGGAACCAGGATTCACCTCAGACACTATGATCCCAAAGCCTGTGCTACTTTCACTACTGTGAGGAACAGTTGTGTCAGTATGCATATGAAGACAGGAGCTGACCATTAAACTATCCATGGCTGCACCAGTGTTGGTAGTGGCAGTAGTGGTGGGTAATCTCTGCCTACTGCAGCCTCAGTCCAGTTAAGTCTATCAATAATGCTCAGTGTTTTGTTCTCTGCTGGGTTCTCTTCCTCTATGGCAGTGTGACATAAAAGAATCCTGAATTCAGTTAGAACATTTGCGTCCAAACCTTGATTTTGCTTAACACTGGGTCTGGGACCTTATGTGAATTATTTAATCACTCAGTCTTCCTCTTTTATTTGAATTGCTTCTCTATTTGCTTCTCAGAGCCTATGAAAGGACTGACTGAAAGGATAGATGTGAGTATGTTATGAACTATAAGTGCAATGTCTGTGTGCAAGGTGGTTATTATTATCTGTGGCAGATATTTCACATTGTCTGTCTTCCTTTACTTCTATGGCTCAGTTTTTGTCAGGCTATAAAAACTATAAAACTTTCTATCCTCCCAACTCAGAGCAAGGATAATCTGGAATCATCCATGTTCTTACTCTCTTCCTACTCTCAACTCTAATGTAATTATTTTGGAAATTAATTTGTGCTGCTGTCAGAGGTCCCCACTATCTCACCTCCAATATAGTCTCTCTGTCCATGTACCCCTTCACCAGAATGAAATGCAGATAAACTCCCCTTAGCTCACTCACCATCCCCATTAGAACAGCATCTCTACAGAGATAAGGAGGGGAGTGATGAGGGAATCAGTGAAGACTAGAGAGATGACATCATAGCCTCAGCTGAGCTAGCCTCCTTGTTATGGTCTGGAACCCTTAGAAGGAAGCACCTTCTTCCTCTAGACCTATGTTTGAAACTTAAAATCTGATCATCTTTTAATAACTAAAATAAATTTGATTCCATGCTACAACACCTCCCCCCAGCTTACTTTATGTATCAAAGTCTTAATTTTCAAAGACATAAACAATCCTTGAAGGAATATAGAATTTTCAATTACCTCATATCTCTGACTAAATTGCCAAAATCTTCCATTAACTGGCTTTGTGAGAAGTGGATGGTCATGGATGTCCATAATGGGGAGTGTCTCATTCATGTTTTGGTATAAGAATGTCAAGGGCAGGGCCTCCCCGGTGGCGCGGCGGTTGAGCGCTGGGTTGCGAAGCTGCCCGCAGCCTCTGCAGCGCCGGTTCTATCCCCGGCTGCTCCCCGGCCACTGAAGGAGGGTCCCGCATGGCGCGCAGACCTCTCCTGCCGCCCGCTGCTCCCCTCGGCAGTGTACTTCGGTCCTTCTGCCTGCTCTTCTCCCCGCTCTGGCTCTGGTGAATTCTCTCACCCTCCCGCGCTTCTGACTGTACCCAGTGCTTGTATAAATAAATAAAAATAAATCTTTAAAAAAAAAAGAATGTCAAGGGCAGAGGCCAGAGTGGGATGGTGGTGGTGGTGGGTTAGTAAGTCCATTCAAGTCCAGGCACTAAATTTGAAGTGCTGGGGTCACTTACCTCAACTTCCTTTTCAGTGAGTGGAGGAGCACTGTGAAAAAAAAAAAAACAATACAAGTGAACTTTATCCAAACTATTACAGACCATGAACACAGACCATGTGTTTCAGGACTGGAGTAAGCAGAGTTGGTAATATAGAAAAGATACCAAGTACCCTTTGTGTGAACTCTGATACCCATGAGATATTCACCCAGATACTGACTCTAGTCTTGGAAGTGAGTGGAAAATATTAGATCTGGGGCTCTGTCCTCCACTGGTGCCTCTACTGTCTGTAACTTTGGACAAGTTATCTAATCTCTCTAAGCCCCAGTTTGCTCATCTGTAAAATGGGAATAATAATACCTATTCTTTAGTAGTTCTGTTCAAAACTGTCTTTATAAATGTTTTTTTCTGAAAATTAAAAGGAATATATATCCATACACTTCAAGGAATTAAAAACAACTTTGTTATATCGACCATCTGAATGCTTAAAAATGCAATAAACAGAAGTTATTTGGAGTACATTTAAAAAAAGCCAAAATAAAGTCTATCTTGCAGAAGTCTAAGGAATATATGTACACATATGTATAGATATATATAGTCACACATATGTGGTATCCACACATTTATTTATGTGAGTATAAAGATACATGCATGTACATCTGTGCATGTGTGTACATATACATGACATTCTCACTCAGCAGGCACTCAGGAGATGTTAGCAATTATTACAATTAACATACCTACTTGTTATGAGGACTTAATAAGAAAATGCATGTGCTACATCCTTACAAGTTGTACATATTTGAGTAGCCATTATAATTTGGGGGTAATACCCAGGTCTGCAGAACATGACCCCCCCGCTTCTATCTTTGAAAGTTGTGACAGGGTGCAAGTGAGTCAGAGAATAAAAGGTATGAGGGAGGGACAGAACTCTTATCCACAGTGAGAATCTCTGATGGCTGAACCAGAGATCAGGACTGAAAGCCCCAGCTGGCCCAGAGGTATCATTCTAAGAGGTTCCTCATCATTCCCATAGAACAGTCCTTTTATCTGCACACCCACTCTGTGTTGCTGCTGCTGCTCTTGCTAGTGACTAAAACTGGCCTTGTTCTGAAACCCAGACAATGTAAATAATGCATGGGCCCTTTCCTGTACTGGGGTGGGAGGACTGGGAGGGGTCCTACAAGCGTCACAGGACTTGGCAACAGAGTGTGCCATCAATAAGATTCTCAGGAAACACAGTTTCCTCTCTTTGACGGGTGTGGATGGACCTCAAGAGCAAAGGTAGGGGTCAGCATCTCTGCAAGGTGCTAGTTCTCACCCCTGACAAGGGATTTTGAGGGCTTTCCTGTCAGGATGAGGCAACAAGACCCTATGGCCATCAAGTTAGCAGAGTACAGCGCATGAGATAAACAACTGCAAAGATGTTTGGTGCTTGTAATTCTTGTGACAGCCCCACCCATCAGGCCTTTTCCTCTGTGGACCAGCTAACCTAATCTTAGCTGTTATATAGAGCATGTACATATTGCTTAAATGATTTATCAAAACTCGCTAAGCACACTGCTGATTCTTGGGTTTATGTGGATATTATGTGAATGTTACATATTTTCATTAATTATGAACCAAACGTATTTTTCTATTTTGTTGACTTTTCTGCTTTTTTGCCATATAACACATTAAAAAAATAAAGAGTACAAAGCCCTACACACTCAGGGGGGTGTGATTTAGGTAAAGAAGCCACATAACATGGCTTCTTCATGGCAGTTAGGCCTTGTGAACTGGCATAAGCAGGTAGGTGGCAGAGCCTTGGGACACCAAAAATATGGAGGTCTAGCAGGTGATATACAAGGAGACCACACTGGATGACATTGCCTAACTGCCTCAGAATTCAAACTCCCCTAATAGTTCTTAGAATAGAATCAACCCTCTGTGAACTGGCCTCTGCTGAACTCACCTCTTCCCACTATCTAGTCACATTAACCATTCTGCTCTGCACACATGCTTACTTCATTATGGCCCCAAGGCCTTTGCATTTACTGTTCTTTTCCTCTTTTTTTTTTAATTCTCTTTTGTTGAAATATCATTTACATACCATAAAATTTACCCTTCTATAATTTATAATTAAGTCGTATATAGTATAGTCTCAAAATTATGCAATTGCCACCAATTTTAGAACTTTTTTTATAATCCCCAAAAGAACCCCATACCTATTAGCAGTCACTCCATCTTACCCAAACCCTATCCTCAGTCCTAGGCAGCCATTGATCTACTCTGTCTCTATGGATTTCCCAGTTTTGGATATTTTTTATAAATTGGTCTTTTGTGACTGATTTCTTTCATTTAGCATAACATTTTCAAGATTCCTCCAAGTGAAAGGTGCCTCATTTTTTTTTTTATAGAGTCATGTTTTATTTATTTATTTGTTTGTTTGTTTTGTTTTGTTTTGTTTTGTTTATACGTGCACTGGGTACAGTCAGAAGCGAGGGAGGGTGAGAGAATTCACCAGAGCCAGAGTGGGGAGCAGAGCAGGCAGAAGGACCGAAGTACACTGCTGAGGGGAGCAGCAGGTGGCAGGAGAGGTCTGCGCGCCACGTGGGACCCTCCTCCTGTGGCCGGGGAGCAACCGGGGATCGAACCGGCGCCGCAGAGGCCGTGGGCAGCTTTGCAACCCAGCGCTCAACCGCTGCGCCACCGGGGAGGAAAGGTGCCTCATTTTTATGGCTAAGAAATATTCCACTTATTCATTCATCGCCACCAACAAAAGTTGTGATTTCCATTTTTTGATTACTATGGTAATGCTGTTATTGAGCACCTGCATGTACAAGTTTTTTGTGGACATATATTCTCTTTGTTCTGCACCTACGAGTGGAATTGCTGGGCATAGGGTAACTCTATTTAACTTTTTGAAGAACTGCAAAATTATTATTCCGAAGTAAGCCCCAAGTCCATTTATCAATCTGAACAAGGAACAATCAGTAGGAACAGGGAGGGTGCCCCCCAAGCTTAGGTGGCCTAATGAGAAACAATTGATGAGAGTCAGGGTGTCACCTAGCTCAGTAAAGAGCGGAAATGTTTAGAACACCAACACAATAACATAATGCTAAAACAAAGAGCCAAAGCTATTTTCGGGAAGGTAAGTAACATCGGAAACTTAGTTGGCCTTGGTAGCCTACGAGACCCCATGAGCCCAGCCAATCAGTGAGAGACACAACACAGAAACACCTATTGGCCGAACTCCTACTCCTTGTTCACTATACCTGTATAAACTTCTGCTTTTCGGCCATTCAGTGGCTAACCATTTGGGGCCCCTCTCTGCTCAGAGAGCTTTCCTGTCCTTCCTCCTATCTATCAATAAATCTTTTGCTTTTCTGTAACTTCCATCTCAACATTGAATTCTTTCCTTGCCAAAGACAAGAATTGAGAGAGCCTGCGTAGGGTCCTTGGACTCCGGGCCTGCTCCCAAAACCACTATTCACTAGCGAAATCATTGATTTAATTATTGGATATTATTTGTCTTTCCACTTAGAATGTGTAAGTGCTGTGAGAAAGGAACTGTCTGCTGGTTTTCCATTCTAATGTCTGGCATATAATATTGAATAGTTGTTAATGAATAGTTGTTGATTATACACCTGGTTATTGATTTTGTTGGTGTTTCACCCTTGGCTACCTCACCCAGTGACATCTCCCCTTTGCATTCTTGTTAACCAATCACTGACTATGTCTCTAATTAGAGTTCTAGACCTGCTTTTTCTACTGTATCTGTTATACTTTATGATTCTGTGAGCTCTTCTTGATGTGGTTTTAATTCCATATATAATGTGAAACTAACCTCTTCGTATTGAAATTCAAGTGTAATATTCCTTTGGGGTGAGAATCTAGAAGCTCTGGCTTCCTCCTATTGAATGATATGTTATGTGTTCATTATTTTATGCCTCAAATCAGAGTTAGAAAGTTCTGGGCCAAACCATGGGTGCAAGTTGGAAACAGCCTTTATTGAGGCCGGGATCAGAGAGGATGGTGGCTGGATCAGGGAGTTTGGGGGCAGGCAATATGACTGTTGACACACTGCATGAGAACCACTGGCATAAACCCCACCTGCTATTTGGGTTGGACACTCCCAACATAGTCCATCATTATTCTTTTTGTTTTGAATGCAGTAGCCCTACACTTTGTTCTTCTGGGATCAAGAATCAAGGGTGGTACTCCTATGTATCCCTTGTAGGTGTTACCTAATACAGGGTTTTCTGTATCCCATGCCCTGATTTTTACCTTCCAGGAAGAGACTTGTGGACCCGCAGTTTGCGTAGCAGCACATCAGAAATATTGGGCATAACATCTAGGCCACTCTTTGATTCTTCTTCCTCAATAGCTGGGGAAAGTTCAGAAGGGAGTCCTAAAAATAAAAATAAAGTGTTACTTATAAAAATGTTTGTTTGAGGGCCTCCCCGGTGGCGCAGCGGTTGAGCGCCAGGTTGTGAAGCCTCTGCGGCCTCTGCGGCACCGGTTCGATCCCCGGCTGCTCCCCAGCCACCGCAGGAGGGTCCCACATGGCGCGCAGACCTCTCCTGCCGCCCGCTGCGCCCCTCAGCAGTGTACTTCGGTCCTTCTGCCTGCTCTGCTCCCCGCTCTGGCTCTGGTGAATTCTCTCACCCTCCCGCGCTTCTGACTGTACCCAGTGCATGTATAAACAAACAAAACAAATAAATAAATAAATAAAAATTCATGCCTCTTTTAAAAAAAAAAATGTTTGTTTGAAATCACAGTAGTGTTGGCAATGTGCTTCAGGGGATAAGGAAGAGATTTAAGACTTACATGAACCTAATTATATGACAGACTTTTAACAGTTATTTTATATACATAGTGACCTAATGAGATAGTACTTAATTATCCCATTTTATAGGTGTGTAAATTAAGACTCAGCAAAGTTCATAACTTGCTTAAGATCACAGAACTGATAAATTGCATAGTTAGACTTCACATTGATTCTATCTGCTCTAAATTCTGTGTTCTTCCAAATGTTCTCCCTAGTACCAAGCAGGCTTTCATGTCTGCAAACAGATGTTAGTTTCTGGTGACTGGAAGCTGGTTGACTATTTGTCTATAGTGCTTAGAAAAGCTCCCTCTCTTAGGCAGGCTTCTCAGGAGACCTACTGTTTTATTACTCTAACTCAAATAAGATCAAAAGTTCTATCATTTGTATCCTACATAGAAATCAGCATCTGGTTTTATACTCCCATAGATAGGAACAGAAACAGGGATTTTCCAGGATAAAGCTAAGGGCCTTAAATCTTTTATAGATCTCAGAAATATAGATGCCTCAATGAAGAACCTTTGGTTATCTCCTCAAACTATGTGGGTCTGTGTTCTGAAGACAGGAAGAACCAACTAAGTATCCTCTTTCCCATAAATCTTTCTCTGGCTTGAAGACAGTTCTTATACCTATACCACTCCATAGCTTCCCTTCTCCAGCTCTAGCCCCATTTTTTCAGCTGTTCATAGTGGCCCTGGAAGGCCCCTACCACTAGGTATCATCTCCTACCTGGACACATTCTGGGTATTGCTGCCTCAGAGGTCCAGATGTGCTCTAACATGCTCTTAGCACAAGAGGACATTGGCAAATGTCCCTGCCATTGATAATTGTTATTTGTGAAGCATAGACTTGCTATGCCTTACTATGATTTTTATGCTATGCCTTACTATGGGATATTTAGGATTAAAAGTCTGAAATCTCTTTTACTTGAGTCAAATTGCCCCTCTCCCTGTCCTATAACAAAATCAGATCTCTTTATTATATACAATGGTTTATAGTTATCCATGTTTTACCATCTCTTATGAGTTTCATGTTTTGCCATCTCTTAGGAGTTTTGACCCAGCAGATTTCTGACTTAATCATTTTGCCGAATTGTAGGCCAGGCTAGACATCAGGATTACAGGCATAGTGGTGGTAACCGTCTCAGTGGGGCTAATATTTTGTCACCAAGTGAAACTGTGCAAAATGAAGTGGATGTCTAGTTTGACTCAAAGTAACAAATATTTAAATACTTTGAGCTTTCCAGTAACATAATCATGTTCATGAATTTCCTGGTGCAAGGTATCCCAGAAAAGTTTGGAAGTTCATCTGTCAGAGACTGGGTAGCCAGTGATTCTTCTTTGGATATAACACTGTACTAGATAGTCTCCTAGTTATCTGCTACTTCTTGGGTTCTGTCCTGGCATTTATTGTTCTCTGACATTTCTTAGTGATAGATGGCAAACCTGTGTTCCTCCTGCCTCACTCTACCTTTATGTATTTCCACTATACCCACCAGAGAGACAATTAATTAGAAATCTCCTGAGAAATCAATATGATTGTTTGAATCATATGAGGCCTAATAATCAAGTGAAAGCCATATCATGGACCTTTACCTAGAAAAGTCCCCAAGATTGAGCCAAAAATAAAAAAGTGACTAGATATGTTACCACCCTGTTACAGATAGGGCTTCAAATCTTGCTAAAATAGTTGCCTAACTGGTGGATCTCAGAACTAGTCACCTTCCTCCTGAACTCAACCCACTTAATAACAATAAACATATTTTTAAATCAACCAAAATATATCAGCAATTCTCAAGTGCAGAAAAGGCAATAATCTTTAAAAATAATGACCAGAGAAATACAGAACTTACTAGGAATAGATGTAGAACTCCCAGGCTTGATAATCCTTTCTTCTTAACCTTAAAGGATCAGTACTGAGAGGAAGATGTAAGAGGAAAAATGGTGACAAAGAACCACAGAATGGGAAGGAAAGTAGACAGAGGGATGAGCAGAGAGCCTGCATGAGAGATTCAGAAAGTTTCTTTAGAATAGAAGGATCCATGTTCTAACAAAAGAAAAACTGCCCAAGCTGTTACTTGCTTTGCTTATGAATGAGGAAGGGGGAGGAAAGGCAGAATGAATTCACCATATGCTAACAGAGCTAATTATCTCAAGCAATCTCGAAGGATTTACCAGAATAGAAGACAAAAGAGAAAATAAATTAAGAACAAGTCCCTCTGGTGGAGTGAGTGGCAGGAAACACATGGAAAGCCCCAATTGAAGTTGTACCCACAACACCCCCGCCCACATACATACACACAAACTTCTGAAAAATAACCTACTGGCCAAACTCCTTGGATTTGGCCTTTCTTCTCCTTCCTTTACCTGGCGGGGAAGTAAGAGTGACTGCTGGGAAGATACTCTGGGAATTTGGAGAATAAACGTGGGCATAGATTGCCTCCAGATTTGGTGAAATAATCCCACTGCTATCCACTCAAAGGAGAAAGTTATGCTCCCAGTTTGATGTAATAAACTCAAGTGTTGGACTGTGAAGAAAGTTAAAGAAAAAGAGCAGAAATCAACCTCAAACACCACTAGCCACAGCTTCACCTGAACTCGCCCTTTTCCTCATCACCCAAGCAGTAACAAAGCAGATACAAAATACTCTATCTTCAGCTGTCTATTTACAGAAAGGATAGCGATTTCAGATTAGGCGGAGGGAAAATTGACCTACACAATATATCTAGGTAAAGAGAAAATTTGGGTAATAATGTCTACATTAAAAAGAAATAAAATGAAAACATAAAGCAGGTCAACTTTATAAAAATATTGTAGTCAAAGAGGAAAGAAAGATGGAAGGAAGATATAAAGGAATGAAGAAGGGAAACATGCAGGAGACAGATGTCAGGATGGAAAAAATGCAAGGAACACATCAGTGCATTTTTATGCAAATGTATGCCATAAATGCTTTGACATTGGAGATATTAGAACCTGAAAAAAATGAAAATAGGAAATTGAAGATGAGAGACTCACATAGAAATTGAAAAGGATTATAATCTAAGGAAACAAAATGAAGACCAATCAACAGAAGTGAGTAAGGAGCTGTAAAATATTGAACTAACCAATATATTGCAAATATGAAGGAACAAAACAAATATAGCTTCAAACAGAATTAGTGAGGTGGGTAGGGGAGATTGAGATGAGCACAAGGAATACAAAGGAAAGATGAAAGTATTTAGAGATGGAAATACTGGACCTGCTGTGGAGACACTGATGAAAAATCTATGGATTATCATGTCTCTGAAGGAGTCAACAAAATAAAAGTAAAAAATAACATATCCAAAGATATAATAGAAAAAAACCCTCCAATGGAGGGAAAAACTGAATTTGCAAATTGAAAGAGCACAGTGTTAAGAAAACCAGCTATCCTTACAGAAAGAATAAGCATTCTACAGGAAGAGGTAAGGGTTGAGGGCTGCTAGAAGTCAGTTGGTGTGAGACTTCTCTACAACACTGAGTTATCTAGAATTAATAACCACGCAAGTTGTTTTTCAAGAATAAGGACAACAGTTTCAAGCATGCTAAAATTCAAGGGCCTCTGAGACCTTCTAGAAAAACTAGATAATGAAATCCAACCAAATGAGACAAATCAAAGCAATAAACATGGGAAGGGTGTTGCAATAAAGGGACTATAATATAAGGACATCTAAGTTTAAGGACACACAACTATGTAAATTATAATTATAGAATGGAATGTAGATGTTAAAAATTAAAGGTTCTGGTTAAAGATGCTATAAGTCCCTGGGTGACCCAAAAAAGACAAAGTTACTGGTTGGGAATAAACTTTTCTCAGATGTCTTCTCAGGGAGACCTGTTCCTATCCATGACAAATGCACTGAACCCTGTCCGATGATGTCTAAAAGGACTGCCCATTCACAGCGCTTCTCTGCCTCAGCCCACACTTCTCTCAACATCCAGGTCCAAGTACCCACCCACTTCCGAGACATTGCCATCTGGATCAACTACTATTCGTTGATATCAACTATGCATTAGTACACTTTCTCACTTATTCCTTACAACAGCCCTTTGAAGTAAATACTGCTAAGCTCATTTTCTGGGGAAACTGTGAAGTAGGAAACTGAAGTGCAGCTAAATGGTTTTGCAGGATCCCATTAGTTAGTAGTTGAGCCAGGGTGCAAAACTAGTCCAGTCAGACTGGCATTCAAGTTGCTCCCTGAAGATGTTCAGCACATCCAAGCCCGAATTCAAGGTCTTCCTTCTTAAGTGGGCTCTTTCTTCTGTGCTTCCCTTCCTGATTAACGGCATCGTCATTTCTTTAGACATGTAGACAGATAACCTGGTGGTCTTCCTGGTGTTCCCTGCCACCCCATCTCCCTACCAAGTCCTGAGAATTTGACCTCCAGATAGCTCTCAGAACTGGCCTTCCCTCATCTCCCATCCTCTGCCCGTCTTAGTCCACAGTCTCATCCCCTCTTACCGAGTTCTTTCCTTATCCTCTTTCTGATCTTCCTGCTCCCACCCTCTCCTATTTCGGGTCAGCTTTCCTAATCTGTATAGAAAAATTATTTCCAAATTCAGTTTGCTTCCTTACCTGCAGACTTCTTTGGCTTCTTAGGGATCTGGAATGAAGTTCAAACTCACTAGCTGACCTATAAACCCTTCACATGTCCTGATGCTTACCCACATTCCACCCTTGACACTCATCTCTCTGGAACCATGGTTCACTTTTGGTTTGCTGTGACCCCTTCTGTTCTTCCCAGAACATGGCAATCACTAATATTCCCTACACATGGGATGTCCTTCTTTTCCTCAGTTCAAAGGTGTTGCTCCAGGAAGCCTGCCATGACTCACACCTATTGACTTTGTTACATCTTCCTAGATACTTTATGTTCTTAAAATCTTAATACTAGTCTTGTAGTGATTTTGTCTACCTTGTGTTTCCTCTTCTAGAAGATTAGGGTGAGCTCATTTACTAAATATTTTTTAAGTGTGCTTACTATGCCACAATGGAGTTGTAGATAGTGATACAATGCTGAATAAAGCTGCTGTGACCCTGTTCTTTCAGAGCTTGTCATCAATGGGGATAGTTTAATCATTGAAACACTGAGATATTTAATTTTATTCTGTGCTAGATTTTACAAAGGAAAAGGATCTGGAGGTGCTGGAAACTTTCCTAGAAAGGGGATATTTTGACACTGAACGGGAGTTCAAGAGAGGCAAAGCATCCCAGGTAGAGAGAATAGCATGTGCCAACATTAAGAAGAGAGAATAATGAGTTGCTAAAGGAAAGTCAGGATATTGAAAGAGAGAGAGGGTGAAGGCAGCCCTAAAAGATAGTGGGGAGGTGAGCAGGGTTAACCACACCAGGCCTACTAAGGATTCTAGTGCTTATCTAAACAGCAATGAAACCTCTGAAGACACTCAACCAGATTTTGCATTTAAAGATTCCTCTGGCTGCCTGTGGATATTAGAATAAACTGTGTCAGGAGTGTAGCCAGAGTAAAAAAACAGTTAAGGTAGTTTGCAGGGACTGATGATAGGTTGGACAAGGCCCCCCCCTCCTTAGTGGCAGGGTTGAAGCATTTTTCATCTCTGCCAGTATGTGGCTTAGGAAACAAACCACAGTCAGTCTCACTTCTTGGGTTGAAATGACCTGCAAATGGTCAAGACCCAAACATCCTATAAATGGTCCCTGTGAAGAGAGCATGTTGGAGAGAGCACATAAAACAGCGGAAAGAGGCTCTAGTGCTCAGAAACTGAAGGACAGGCTAAGTTCTTAAGACTTAAGAATTTTTTGGTAAGGATCTTCCCTGTCTCTCAAAGGAATAGTCAACAATCATAAGAGACTCAAGCTTTCTCCATGTGCTCATACGCACAGTTGTATTTAGAGTCTAGCAAGGGGCCAGCCTCGCCGTTTCCCAGAGAGGACTCCCGCAGCACTGGTAGAGGAGGTCATTAGCTCTCTGATGGGGCTTTCAGAATGTAACACAAGGAAGTCGCAATTGTGGAGATATCAAGCACATATGGTTGCCCACCATATCTCCTACACATTGTGAAATACACAATACAACAATATACCATGTCGCTGGCAAGATAGAGTTCTACAGCCTTAAGGGTAGGAATTAGAATATATGTCAAGTTCCTGCTGAAATAAAGAACAGTATCACATAAAATCGTTACATCAGCTCAGTAAAGTAGGTATTACATTATCTTCATTTACAGATGGCAAACTAATAATATCAAAAATAAGAAACTTGCCCAAGGCTGTATAACTGCTAAGTGGTAAAGTTTGAGCTCTTTACCACTCAGATCTCAGAAATGAGGAAAATAGGAGGAAAGATGCAAGTATTGAACACCCACCATGGCTTATTTTCTTTTTTAAAATTTGATGTTTACAGGAGTCAAATTCAGTATAAAATAATAATTTTTCTACTTCTAAGATCCATCTTGTTCCCTGCTGGATAGTGAGGTGTTACTGTAGGAAATGGATGTCTTCATTTTTGAAGTTGACAGTGTATACAAATTTTGATCAAGCAATTCCACTTCTAAGACACCCCATGGAAAAAACTTAAATATTTCTATAAAGATACATCTAGGAAAATGTTCATTGTATTATTACTTATAAGGGAGAAAAAGTAAAAACAACTTATCAAGTGATAAGAGATGGGTCAAGCAATCTATATAGTTCCTCTTACAATAGGATACTACATTAAAAAGTCATTAAAACAATTGAAAGTTCTATATGTATTAAATGAAACACTGACATACAATGATTTAGAAGATGACATTAGACAGCAGCCTTGTTCATCCACCAATACCTGTTCTCCCCTCCTCCCATGTGAATGGAGTTTAATCCCGCCATAAGGTCAGCAGTATCCAACTAGGAATGGCTACAACCGTGCCATTACTATCCAGTGCAATGGGAGCTAAAGAGTTGTGAGCAGCTCTTGCCCTGCTTATTAATCAGTCAGTCAAGAAAGCAAGCAAGTAAGCTGGCTGTGGGCTACCATTCTTTCTCCTTCTTACAACCTGGAACAAAGGTTTGCCTGAGATCCAGTTTCAACCATGTAGACAAGTATAAAACCCCGAGAGGGGTGTGTGGTTATGAAATAATAAAGAAGCCAGGATTTAAGCCTGACAACAGGTCTTATAGTTCTGACGCACAATGAGAATGAGGACAAGGAAGGGCTCTGGGGAGCACGGAGAGTAGGCTTCATCCCAGATCTCAGAGGGTTAGAATCCTACTGGAGACACCAGGAGAGGAAATTTGGGAGAGAGGGCCTGGGAGAAGGTGGGAGACCAAAAGTTTTATTTTCAGAACATGAGTCTGGCTGGGTGGGTGGAGACTTACAGCCACCCGGAGGAAAGAACTGAGGTCTGGACTTTGTGGCGACAGCAGATTGAAAAGCAAGAAATGACTCTGAGGTTTTGAAAAGAGGAACCATTCTATTTGGGTGGCTTCCTGGGTGTGAGGAAGAAAGGAAGTGTTAAAAGTTCAGGCCTGGGTTAGCCCAGAACCAGTAGGTGCTCACAAGCCTCGAGAGCACTAGCAGTGTCTGGAGGAGGGTGCTGGTTGGAAAGGGGCTAGAGGTGCTCTGAATGGGCAGGAAAGCCATCTGATTCATTCATTCATCTGTAAATGTTTACTTAGGGCCTGCTCTGTGTCCGGCCCACACTTGCCACAGCATGGTTGGACAGAGACCCTGACAGGAAGTCTAGTATTTACACATTCACTTCTTTGATCTGGTGAAAATGAACCCAGTCTTGGCCTGAAGAACATATCTGCCCCACCCCACTTACCTTTTTCCTGCTCGGCTGCTTCACTAAGTTCTGGAAGCTTCAGGCCAACTAAGTTCTGATTTCTCATCAAGATATGCTCCTTTTTAGGAAAAGAAGACAGTATTTCAGATAATGATACTCTTTTCTCAGTTCTATCTATGGCTCTGTAGCCACTCAGCTACTAGTGTTGTCTCAAAGGTGGGTGAATGGTGATGACGTGGTGACATCTGAGTGACACCATGACAGTGCCTCCGTAGCACATAAAGGTGCCTAAAACTCTACCACTAGGGCCACATTTCTTGGATTAAGAACTGTCCTTGGCCTAGTGTGCTTTGTAAACAAACTTGTAGGGCTTAGGGCAAATGAGGTGCCAGCCACACCTCAGCTAAGGCCTGCTGAGGGTGGGAAGAAAAGCAGAAGTAGAACCCAGGGATCTGGGTTGAGGAGGTCCCCTGAATGTATATGGGGTTGATTTTGGAAACAACCTCATGGCAGTGTTTGAGCTGGCTAGAGCTTCCTGCCCTGTCATTCTGGACAGTAAGTGCCTACTTCCAGGACTTGTGAGGTCCCTTCCCATAAGTTCCTCAGTGACCTGCCATTTGTTGTTAAACTCTCCAGGCAAATGAGGCCTAAGAATTGCTGCCCTAAGGCAGCAGGCCCAGCAGCCACTATCCTGCTTAGGGCCTCAGCAGGCTGAGCCCAGGGAGAGAGGAAGGGATGTAGGTAGGCACAGGTAGGCCTATCATACTTGCTCTATGTCAATCAGTACCCGTCCAGTGCCCCCAAGTAGAAATCCTGACCCAGCTACATAGCCCAAGTGATTTGTGCTATAAAAAAGGATTTTCAGGGGCCTTCCTGGTAGCGCAAGAGGTTGCATCTCAGCACTGTCATGCTAAAACCAGTCACTGTGGCATGGGTTCGATCCCCGTCCAGGGACCTAACCCATATTGCACAGCAGACCTCTCCTGTCTCGCCCGCTGCTCCCCTCACACTATTTCAGTGGATCCACCTGTTCTGCTCCCTACTCTGTCTCTGGTGAACCCTCTTGTCTGCTGCATTCTGGCCTGCACCCCAGTTCTTGTAGGTATAAAGAAAACAAATCTTAAAAAAATTTTTTTTGTTTTAAAAAAAGGGATTTTCAGGTTCCTCTGGAACTGAGGCCACTTGAATGGTTTGCCCCCTGGGTAAAGGAGGCAAGGAAGGGGCCAGCAGAGGGTGCTCTAGCCTAAATGGAAGTGACTGGCACTTTACCTATTTCCTTGGCAAGCCAAAGGCTCCAAACCATTCAACTCTCAGCACCCGGAATGGGGGTGGGCTGCTTAGCTTCCAGGCTAGTAGCTAGCGGGGTGGGGCCTTTGAGTTCTCTGTGACTTTCTTTGCTGCGGAAAGAGACTTGTAGGGGTGTGAAGGTGAGTGGCCTGTTGTCTAAGCTAAGCCTGGTCTCTGATGCCCAAAGGTCTATGAAGGCAAATGTCCGGCTGTCTGACTCCCTCGGCCCCACCTTTCCCAGAAATCTGGAATGGAAGCCAGCACAAGCAGTCCCTCCAGTCCCTGTGCTGATCCACTGGCTAGTGAGATATTCCTAACTGGGTGGGGTTTTCTGTGCAAAAATTAAGAGCAGCCAGCTCCCAGCTTCCCTGGAGTCTCTAATTCGGAGTATTATGGAAGGTTTTTCAATAGGACAGTGGCCAGCCTTGGACTACATCCCTGCTAGCACAGAAACCCTTCAGTTGTGCTTGACTATTATCAGGTGCCCCTTTTCCTTCCCTGCCCCACACCCCTTCTATAGGGGAGCCAGGAGAGCCCTGTCCAGCTCCGGCTATGGAGGTACCGGGTCCCATCCTGTGGATACCTGCTGCCATGGCCTGTACCCTGAGTTGACCCTCTGGGGAAGCGAGCACTGAATAAGGAATCTTTTGTCCTGTTAACCTCTTCTCTACCTCTCACCATGGTCTTTCTCCTCTCCATTTCTGGATACCTTCTAGTCACCCCATAAATAGGGTGGCGACCACATGAAACATCCCTGTGCCTGGTTTGATGGACAGTGAAAGTTGCAGACATCATGGATGTTGGCAGAAATTTACCAGGATGGGGGAGAGTAACCCCTCATGGCCATCATTATATTTGTGGGTGGACTTGAGGCTCTTTACTGACAGGTGCCAGAAAGGAAAGCTTGGGGGCATTACAAAGGGAAAAACTATTCCATCTTTGCCTAGCCCAGTCCTAGGCATGACAAGGCACTCCATCAAGGGCTTCCTGTTTATGGCCACTAGCTCTGGCTAGAGGAGATAACACAGCCTAGGGCTGAGGGGCCCATGTGTCCCTCCAGACCCACAACTTCCCCTTGAAATGTGGCTTTATGTGACAACTATGTCCTAGAGTGACCTCCCCCTAGTAAGAGATGTAAAAAGCAGCTGAAACGGGTGTTTGTGAAGAAAATGTTGCACAGTGGGCCCAATTTCTCGGAGTAGGGAAGTTTAAATTCCCCTACAATGCCCAGATCCAGACAGAGCTGCCCAGGAACCAGTTCAACCCAGAGGTCATCAACCTGGGGGAGACCAGGAGTGCACACCCTGCCCAGCTGGCCCCCAGTCACCCACCTCTCGGAGCTTGGTCAGTTTCTGCATCCGCACAGGCTGCACTTGTATCTGAAAGTCTTTGAGTCCAGGTGCCTTGGCCAGCTTGCTGCTAGCTTTGCCTGAAAAACGCTTCTCTTCTTCCGCCAGCGGCAGCTTGGCAAGCACTTTCTGCAGCCGGGGGCTCGTTTCTTCGGGGCCACTGTCCCAGGATACTCCCCGCAGCAGGGGGGGCCGGGACACAGGGGACCGAAGCTCAGCTTTGGAGCCACCTTTGGATGTTCCTGTCTCTCCAGCTGCGCCTTTCCCTGGGGAGGTTGAAGGAGCCACCCCTCCAGATCCCTGGGCTGGGCCTCTGGGGAGAGGGTTGCCCTCCCTGGCTGTCTTCAGGAGTGGCTTGCCCAGCTCACTCTCAACAGGACCAGGCTGGGGGCTGTTCAGAGCCATTTTCCCCACACTACCTGTGCCAGAAGCTGGGCCCTTGGGTGTGGCCTCAGAATGCTGGAGGGGATCAAAGTTTTCCTTTTGTTCTATTGCAATGTCTTTGGATTTCTCAATTGTGGGAGAGCGAGGAGTCAGCCTGCCCTGAGATACTTTCCTCTGGTCATTCTGCTTCCGGTCAGCTAGTCCTTTGGGAGCATTCTGAAAGAGAAAATGTAGAGCTGTCACCCGATTGGGGAGTAGATAAGTGGGGTCACTTTCATTGTGGGGCTTCTGCCCACCCACCTTGCCAAAGGGCATACTTGTACATGAATGTGTTAGAGAGGAACTGATAGAGTGGAGGTTTTCTCAGTTATTTCTGAACCACTAAAGAGAACCCACGGACAAGTCTGAGGTTTGTTAAAAAAAAAAACAAAAAACACCAAAAAAAACAGATAGGATGATGGGACCTATAATGCAAAATCTGTGAAGCTTCACAGCAGTAGAATAGAAAGGATGGTTTGAGGTCACAAGTTTTAGCTCAGACTCAGCTCTCCACGTTCTTGTCCTGGCTCCTCTTGACAAGGTCCTTAATTTGTAGGAACTCATATTTCCCATTAGGTTTGTGAAGTCTCTGAAGTTATGTGTGAATGTGTGTGTGTGTGTGTGTGTGTGTGTGTGTGTGTGTGGTATATATATTTCTGGGAAAAGATTCCATAGCTTTGAACCATTTCTCAGAAAATTCTATTATCCAAGAGATTAAGAATCCGTGGTGGAGGATTATTGGAGCACTAGTAGTGGGCAGGGTGTGAAAATATATATTTGTAGAGGTTTAAACCTATAACCCCTGATGAAACAATGATGTAACCCTCCTTTATCTCAATAAACATAAGTTTAAAAAAAGGATCAATGGATGACTCTCAGAAAGAAAATAGCTCACTTAGCTTCGAAGTGCTAAGCGCTTTTCTTCCATTCCCAAGGGAAACCTGCTGTGTGAGGAACTTGTGGGTCTTTGTCGGTATATTTGTGTGGCTGTGAAGCATGTGTGCTGAAAGTCTTACAGAGAACTCTATCCTGGACCAAATTCTGGATGACCTGTGCTCTCTGTGGACCTCATACCACCTTGAGCACTTTATAGGAGTGGGGCTCTTCTATTCATTGTCAGCAAAGATGAGGTTTTCCTGGTGGCCCCCACAAAGAATTCCAACTAGAGACTAGAGCTCTCCTGCAATTTTCACTAGATCTGACAAGAGGGACAGTCTTGCCAGGCTGCTACTGGGTCCAGCAGTCTCTGGCCAGCAAGAAGTCTGACTGGAGGTACAGGAGTATGGACATTACTGAATCTCACTCCTCACCGCCTCCTCCTCAGACTTCCAGTCACAGTAGGGCAGAGGGACCTGCTGGCTTCCTCAACCTCAACCCTCTGCCCGTATACACACACACACAGGCTGCCTGGGGCCAGCCTAGTCTCCTGGGAGACTATGTCTTCCAAAACCAAATCAGCTAAGTCAGGTAGAGTTCAAACTTACAGGTTCACCAAGGTGAGGTGAAAAGAGTTCAGCCTCATTCCCCTTCTGCTGGATAAAGTAAACATAAGTCAGTTAGCAATGTGAAGAGATTTTATCTCCTCTTGAAATACCCTCAAGGAAGCCCCTAGCAGTGATGAGTCCTCCGCCACAGAGTACCCTCATTTCCAGTGGGTCACGGGTGGATGGAGGGCGCTTTCAGATGTTAAAGAGTAAGAGGGGAGACTTGTTAGCACAGAAACCCCAAGAGGAGCCCCATTACCTGTGGTTGTGCTCCAGGAAGGGGGGACTGTGAGCCACTGCATGTATCCAAACCTGGAATGGTCCAGACACTGATGAGTGATGTCTACCACCCCAGATCCTCATTTGTCCCGTTAGCAAAACCACATCAACCTCCCCCAGAATGTCCTCTCTTGCCACTATTTGTGGTTTACTTTCCATATTCCAAGTTCTCAGTGAGCTTTCATTTAATTATCACAGAAACCAAATGAGGAAACTGAGGCAGAGGAAAATCAAGATCACACAGCACCAGGATTTGAACCCAGCTGCCTGACTTGATCTTGAGCATGCCCCACAGTTCTGACAAGGGCAGGCTACTGTGGCGCCCTCCCCCTTCCCCCATTGAAGATGTGGCCCTGTATACCGCCAAGCAAAAGGGGAGAAACCAAAAAGCAGAGTGGTTGAAATAGAGGCCTTTCCAAATAAGAGCTGAGGTAACGTCTCTAAGTTCTCTCTGGGCAGAGAGAGCACCTTCCCACAACCTTGCCCCCGGCTTGCCTCCTCCTGGGTTACCCCTGCCACCCTACACTGGCCCAAACACCCAACAGAAAGCACATCTACCATCTCTGGGGCAGCATAGTCAGGCCCAGGAGCTGCTGGGGAGTGTGCCACATAGGGATCCTGGCTGGGTAATTTGCAGGCTGGGGGAAAGGGAGCTGAGAGGTGTCCTTGTCAGGTCAGGGGAAGAGCTGAGCTGTTAACCAAAGGGGGAGACCAAGGTAGGAAATGCTTGAGGGCCTGGACCTTACCAGGTAGTATGGGGACGGTGAGTGAGTTGCTCCGAGAGGATGCAGGAGAAGCTCCAGGGCTGAGGTTTGGGGAAACAGCTATGGAAAAAGACAGAAATTGGTCAGCATTCACGACGACTTAGAATTTCAGCTTAATGTAGACATATTTTAAGGTGTCTCTGACTCCTGGGAACTGGGTCTGCCTTGTTGGGGTCAAGGGCTGATACTAGATGGCATTGTAAGTCTCCTCCCATAGCCCCTGCTGCCAGTTGGAAAAGGGCACTCAGATCATTTGTGGGGTAAGGACCAGGGTCACATTCCTCAGCCTGCATGGCCTAATCTCACAGCACTTATAGAAACAGGGGTTATGGCACTGTTTGGCAAGAATAGTTGCAAAGGCTGGACCTCCTAGATTTGCCAGGATGGCCCTAATTTCAAATTTCCCTTTGCCTCCTGAGAACATCCAGAATTGCCTAAATCCTGGTCCAACTTTTTGCTCAGGAGGAAGAGTAAGTTTAGTCATAGTTGTAGCAGGAGGATTTCAGGGCCCAGAAAAACCTTTTGTCTAATCCAGAAATTCCATAAGGACCACCTTCAAGGCCATCCCCCAGTGCCTAGGAGGCTTCCTGAGCCCAGAGCTGGAGCCCAGGGAGAGGGAGTCCAATGCCAGCATCTCCAGACCTTTGCTGAGGAGGCAGGCTCTCCTGCGGGAGGTGGGGAAGTCACATAGACTCTGTCCTTAAACTGTGACCCAGGAATCAGGGCCCAAGGACATCACATGCAGTTCTCTCCATGTAGGACTTGGGGATGGGAGAACCCAAGTAAGTTCATGGGTTTCATAAGGGCTGACATTTCTGGGGGAAAACAGTAAGCTAAGGTGGTCACACACAGGTCCCCAAAACAAAGGTTTTTCTGAGTTAAAGTTGGGTCCTTATTTTAGAACTTCTTTAATTAGAAAAGATGCCCTTCTCCCTGCAAGGTCCTCTCCACAAGGCCCGATCCTCTGTGGCCCAGAGGCCCAGGGATAAATGACTCAAACATCGCACCCGGGAAGCAGTGTTCCCACTGCACCAGGGACTTGGTCTTCTCTAATGCCCTCCCCACCTTAGAGGGTTCAGAGTGGGCCCCAGTCCATCCTACCTGATGGGGAGTCTCCAGGGCTGCTCCTAGATCTCCTCCCTCGGCGGGTCAGGAATCGCTCACTCACTGACTTGGCTTCTTCCAGCAGTGCCAGGTTTTTCTTCTTATCCTCCTCTGAGATGCTGATGTCTGGCAGCTGGTCATTCACCAGGTCAATAACATGCCCCGCAGGGTCTGCAGAGGAAAGTAAGCTCAGTGAGAGGCCCTGCCATCCCACATCTCAACCCCGGAATGCTCCCCAGAGCAGACTTGTCCAGCCAAACCTCAGCTGGAAGCAGGGTCATGGAAAGAGCTGCATGGGGACAGATGGCTTCCTGGCTGCTCCTTGGGGCCTGTGTTGTGACAAGTCATCTGTCACAAATGGCTATGAGGCTGCCTTGGGCTCCCAGTACCTTCCTGAACTCTGGAGTTAGGAAAGGCCATACAAAGCTCCACCTCTGTGCTGTCTGCTTCCCCCTGCCCCCACTGTATTCTTCCTTCAGGTCTCTTTTTCTTTAACAATTTAGTGAGCTTAAGGTGTGTAGATAAAAGGAGCATTCCAAAGACCATGGACCAAAGATAATCCCACAGCCACCTTTATTCCTCTGACAGTGTTTACTTTCATCCCTCCAAAACTGTCCCTTTTCCAGCAGCTCTTCTCTGAGCAAATGATGCCACCCTCCATCTAGCTGCTTAGAAACATGGGAATCATTTCACCCTCTTCCTCAGTCACCCCATGTCCAATTAACTGATCACCAGGCCCTGCATTTACTTCAAAAATGTCATGGGCACCTGTCTCCATTGTCTCCATTCTTGCTCACTCTTACCTGCAAAATTACACAAGCCACCTTATAAGTCTCCCACCTTGGGCTCTCCTCTCTCTCCCATCCTCCACAGCCTACCAGAATGACCTTGCTGAGACCTTTCTGACCAGGCCATTCCCCTGCTTCATCTCATCGGGATTCTTCATGGTCCTCAATGTGGTATCCAAAGGATGAACTGGGCCCAGTCACTTTTGTCAACCCTACATGTTCCTGCAGAGACACCTCTCCCCCAGCCCCTTGGTGATGATCAGCTCCCATGTGCCTCCCCAGCCTTCATTCCCCAGCCCTCTAGTTAGCATTGCCTGAAAACCCTCTGAGTCTCAAGTATATTAATTAGGAAGGAACCAAGTTCTACCTCTACATCACCTCTACTGTAGGCACAGCATCCTGTACCAGTCTGGGCCAGGTGCTGAGTTCATTAACGCTGGCCACAATGCTGAGCTCAGGGATAGCCATGGGAAGCCAATGGGCAGCAATCCTGGGAATTGTGTTAGTGATAGCAAGAACATGAATTCTCTTTCCATCAATTGGACATATCTGGAGTTACTGGTAGCTATTTGCTACCATATATGAAGAGCATGCCCAAGAAGAAAGCTAGCACATGAGAAAGGACACCTGAGGGACAGAAGACTTACTAATAACGCAGCTCAAGCACCTGGATTCAGCGCTGCCGGAAACCACAAGCCCTAGGTTTCATTTATTATTTTTTTTGGTTTAAGCTAGTTTGAGTTGGTGTCTATCATGAAAGAGCCCAGGCCAGTACACAAGACTGTGCATCCCATCACTCTGTTACAGTTCCTGCTCCCCCACTGTGTTGCTTTTGCATCCAGAATGCAGTACCTTTCCTCCTTCTTGTCTATCTGTCCAGTTCTCTAAGGTACAACTCAAATACTCTCTCCTTGGAAATAACAATTCAACCTCCTGCCTTCCCAGAGAACAGATCCCTGTCCTGTCTCAATTTCCCCAACTCTTCTGTGAAGGGTCTCCTTTACAGAACGATACAATCACCAAGTCCTGATTGTATCTGGTCACTTCTCAGTCTCCTCATAGACTGCAAGCAGCAGGAAGGCAGAGACTAAGTTTGTCATTTCTATGTCTTGTCCAAAGCAGGCCCGGAGAGGCCATTTGGAGAAGGAGCCAGTGATTGGGGCAGCGAGGCTTGCACTGAGGCACATGCTGACCTGGAAGTCAGCCTTTTTATCAGGGGGCAGAGGGCCCCTGGAATTGAGCTGTTCTGTCTCTCTTTGCCTTTCAGTCTCCCTCTTCTTACCCTTTTGCAAAAAAAAAAAAAAAAAGCGGGGTGGGGGATCAAACTTCTAGGCTCAAGCTTTGAGGGGCTAATTGACTTTGTCCTGTTGGACTTGTAGGGATAAACCAGTGTGAGAAGCAGGAGAGGGGAGGGATGGGACCAAGCCCAGCCAAGCTGCCATACCTCTGTCTTCCTACTCAAACACACCTTCAGTTGGACCCCTATCTCTGATTGCAGAAATAAGATAAATTCTCCTAACCCTTACCCACAGAAGTCAGCGAAACGGTAGAAACCTTCAAGTGTCGGTGAGAAAGCCTCCTGTGGGGACTGTGAGCTCTGAAAAACAAAATAGCCATCTTGTTAAGAAAATTTGCCCACAGCTTTGAAGTAGGCAATTAGATATTTGTATGTCCTTTCAAAATCATCTAAGAGATTTGCCATGCAAGCCTGTCTAGCTTTGGCCCTTGTTAGAAATGCAGTTCTCAGGCCCCACTCCAGACATACTGGATCAGAAATTCTGGGGCTAGGGCCCAACCATCTGTGATAGAACAACCCCCCAAGGTGGTTGTGATCCACCTTAGTTTCTGAACCATTACTCTAAGGAGAGGTAACAACTATTTGCTATATATTAGGGCCCAGATTCTGAGTGAGCATTTAACTTGTATAAAATGTCAATAATTGTGTAATAGAGAAGCAGATGATATCTATTTGGGGTAAAGGGATATACATATCACATGTATATACACAGATATAAGCTGTGTAATCTATACATGCACATAATATGCATGTCATACATACACACACACATATCCATTTTTTGTACCCTTCTTTGAACCAACTTTGTCACCCTGACAAATCCCTCATTGATGAGTTAAATAAGTCTTTGGTACATGCTCACTATATATTTCTATGAGAATTTTCTTTTTAACTTTTTGGAAACTGTACATGAATGATCTCATCCCAGCTAGAGCCATCTAAGGGCTACTGTTGTGTGAATCCCAGGCAGTGACAGCCCCATGCATGTGATCATCCTCCACACAAGACACAATTTGGCCAGAGGCAGGATCCTACAGTCAAAGGCTCAGATCTTTCAGGTCTGCTTGCAAATATGTGGGCAGTTAGTACAGGAAACTCCCCCTCTCTGATTTGTGCTTTTCTTAAAGCTTAGCAGAGTGCAAAGAACCAAATCCAGGAGAGGAAAAATAATTTGGGGATGGGAGGAAAATCCCAAACTCTTTCCCCATTTTGAAAAACTCCTTAATTGCATTTTCATTAATAAATTGACCCAAGAAAGAAGAAAAGATTTATGCGCACACACACACACACATAAAACAGCTGTCTAAACCCCTTGTTCTAGGAAGTATTTTTCTTCGTAGTGCAAAGATTAAACACATGGGCTGTACCGGTTGGCCAGGTTTTTGTCAGTTTCTCCTTCTGGTGAACTGGCATCCCCAGTCAGGATGATGGTGGGTGGGTTGCAAGATATTCCTGCTGTAGGAGTGCCCTGGAGGTATAGAACAAAATAAAATGGTGTTAGACTTGGGATGGTGGAGCTACCAGGAGCTGAAAGTAGAGCATCTATTCCAGTATCCTGATACTCAGAGCCATCTTGAATGGGACAAATGCAGTTTATCTGGATTAAAACAAAAATTCTAGTTTCTTCTTCATTCCCTAGCATGCAGCTGAACACAATCCTCTTTTCTTTTTTATTTGGGTATTCTTTCTTTTAATGTTTTACTTGTTTTTTTTCTCTTTTTATAAGATTTTTTAATTTATACATACAACAACTGGGGTACAGGCCAGAGTTGCGGGGGGCAGGGGTTTGAAAGGATTCACCAGAGACAGAATAGGGAACAGAATAGGCAGACTGACTGAAATACACTGCTGACGGGAGCAGCAGGCAAGACAGGAGAGGTCTGCTGCGCCATGTGGGTTAGCTGCCTGGCCAGGGGTTGAACTGGTGCTACAGATAGCTTCTTGGTGCCGAGACTTAACCCCTTGCCCAACCAGGGAAGCCCTGTTACTATTTTAATTTTAATTTTATTTTATTTTATATAATTTTTACATAATTTTTCATTTTTGCACAATGTGTGCATTTTCATCTTGGTTGTATTCCCCCATACAATTCCCACCCCCCTTATTTTAACCCTAATCCCTCCTTCCCTCCCGCCCCTTGTAGCAGGTCTCTGGTTTATAGTTGCTTGTTGATTTTGATTTTTACTTTCTTATAATTAGTCATTTTCCTGATCTCTCTCTCTCTTTTAAGATTTATTTATGCATAAAAGAACCGGGGTGTAGACCAAAGGTGCAGGGATGGGGTGTGTGTGTGAGAGGAATCACCAGAGTAGGAAGCAGATCAGGCAGATCTACTGAAATACACTCCTAAGGGGACCCGTGGGTGAGACAGGAGAGGTCTGCTAGGCCATATGTGGGTTAGCTCACCGGTGGAGATCATACCCAGGCTGTTGTGGTGCTAGTGCTGGAACTTAATCCCTACACCACCAGGGAGGCCCTACAATCCTCTTTAATAGGAACTTCTAAGCCATCTCTGGTTAGTTCTCATTAACAAGCTAGGCAAAGAAGGTTGTGGAGTCCCCAGGCTATGGTCAGCCTGAGTGGGAGAGATTGGAAGCCAGCGGAAAAGGCAGTGGCATCCACATCTTTCTGATGTTCTGTGACTGTTCTACATTTGGGTTATTGTGACATTTACATTTCAATAAAGGTGATTGGTTTGATGGGTAATGGAATGCAGTTAATTTTCTTTACTGTGTAGAGTTATTTATTTAAGTTAATACACATTTCTGAAATTAGAACAAAAGTCAGTAGCCAGTTCTTAGACTTTTGGGGAATTATACGACTACTTAAACAAAATAAAGTGAAGGTGTTATGACATCCTAGTTTGGTGAAGTTATAGTAAACAGGTGTATTCATATGCTGCTGATGGCTGTGCAAATTGTAAAACCATAACCAGAGTATAATAAATATTTGTTGGCTGAGCAAATGAATGAATGAAATGAAAGCAACATAACATATACAATAAGATCCATAAAGATATACATCAACCTGTGTTTTCCCACACCTAAGTGGACAGGGGATAGAATAGGACCAGTTAATTATCTTTCTGGTTCTTTTGCCACCTACTCTTGCAGTATTTCTATCTCAGAAATGTTCTGTTTGGTCTGGCCCTCTCTAGGGGTTCTCTCAAATGTCCACCATCATCTCCCTTCTCCTCTGCCCACCCCCTTAACTGGCATCTGCTGGCAGGGTCTTCCGTGAACACCTTACTATCCATGCCAAAGGCCTGTCACCCAGGCTCCCAAGCATGTTGCACCACCTCCCATTTTGGCTTGGCCTCCTTCAACATCAGAATCATAGGCGCTTGTTGTCCTCATTGCCACTTTCTCTGGAGGTTTGTCATCCTGGAACCCCTAAGCATTTAACAAGGAATATGAACTTACAAAGAATCTAAGAGAGAGGTCTGAGGCAACGGGAGCAACATTAGCAAAGGCATGGCTGGGCATTAGTCAGTGTGACTAAAGCAAGGGCTATGGGATATGTGAGAGAATCCAGGGCTGCAGGCAAAATTTGAAGCTATGATAAGAGTTTGAGTCAGCATCTGAAGAAGCCTGAGTGCTTCTCTAGTGGGTCTGGTCTTTGTGGGTTTGGAGAAGGTTAGACTCAGGAATTATTGACAGCTTGAGCAGAAAACAGAAATTCTGAGAGCAGATCCATAAATGGTCCTCATGATTCATAATGACTAAGATGATGAAAAAGGCCTGGTTCTTAAAGCACCCAACTATCCCATAGGAATTTTGAGGAGCTCCTGGTAAATTGGAACTGTGTCACTCTCCATTTGGACACCCACACTTGGCTCAAGTAGAGTGATAGGGAATCAGCTGATAGGGATGTTTGTGACCTGATCCGGTCCTCATGACGCCAGAGCTCCAATCCCTCCAAGAACATAGACACCCATCCTCCTGTCAAGGATTTATCTTGGAACAGATCCCAGGGAGGTTCCCCAAAAGTAACTATCCCCCAAAATACCATCCATACTTCTAGGGGTAATATCACCTTGATGGGCTGTTGATGGGTCACTTGCTTTGTCCTCTCATTGCTGCGTCTCTCAGTTCCCATAAATGTAAAATGAGCAAAGATCTGTTCACTGTCAGAAATTTGTGCAAATAAATGAAGTGATAAATGCACTTTGATAGTTGTCACATGGTCTACTGCTGCACCTCCCCCTGCAGTGACCTTTAGGGCTAACCGTCCCTAGGTCCGGCTGGGCAACCAGCGCGCAGGGGGAGAACAGCAAAACCCTACATACCTGCTGCACCTCCCCCCGCAGTGATCTTTAGGAATGGCTTTTGCCACGGTCCCTAGGTCCGGCTGGGCCAGCGCGCGGGGGGAGAACAGCATAACACCCTGAAGCAGAGGAAGTTCAGCGGAAGTTCCCTGAAAAGGCAGAAGCTTATCAAAAGATAACGACCACCAAGAACTGTTATAGGACAGGGAGAGGGGCAGCCCAAACCCCGCAAACCTGTCTATTCTAAGTGGGTTCTGCCATCCGCCGCATCAACACAAAACATAGGAGACTTTAATGGGAAGGAACTTTAATAAAACTAGGAAACAATACAGGTAAGGCAAAAAGTCTAGTTTCTAAATGAAGCACCCAAAGTTACCCGTCCCCTCGTGGGTAAAAGTCCATCCAAATGGGATTGGCCCAGAGCAAGGCCCCAAAGCCTGCCACACGTCTAAGGCATCTTCCAGTGGGGACCCACAGAAAAGGGTCAGAAGCTACCAGACAAGGCCGGAAGGAAAAGAGCAAAATCAACATCAAAATAAAAGCTGCCATTGTCACCTCCCCAAGGGTCTCACCCACATCTGTGTTACCCAGTCCACGACCAAAAGACAAGCACAGTTTCTTCACGTGTCTCTAAGCTCCACGCGCCTCCTCCAGGTCTCCTGGCTCCATCCTGCTTCCTTCCTTCCTCAGTCTCTTCTGCCGCTTCTTCTCTTCCTGCTCAGCTCCACCCTCTCTTGGGTGGGGCAGGGAACCTCCCCCTTTCCTGGGGACCACCCTGTTGCAGAACCACTACAAGAATGCTAAAAATCTTATCCCGTCTTTCTAGAACTACAAACTTTAATCCCTTATTTGTCTTTCTAAACTTCCTTCTTTCTTCTATAATGGTCATTGTTTGTTATGTAGATCACCTCCCTGATGGTGATAGACTGAGCCCAAGAGCAAGCTAATTTCTTTGATATTCATTCCTGTGCTTTTGGAAAACATATATATACTGGTCACAAACTCAAAGAAAATTACACTCAGATTTTCACTCTTGAAGTGTGTCTGTTTGTCATTTCTTTCACTGACGCCCTGACCACCCTGCACGCTTCTCTCAACCCTGAGGTGGCCTCATCGTCTACTGCTGTGCTGGTCCGCGGCAGTCTACAAATATTAAGATGAGTAGTTCTACTCAGTTCTCTGCACCTTTTGTCCATCAGGCTCTCCCAGTATGTCAGCAATAAAGGCTGGGCCAGGAGGAAAGCAGGAGGATCTTGAGTGATGGTGTGAGGTCTGAGGACATATAGTGGAACAGTGTTCAGGGAAGCTGCTGAGCCAAGAAGGGGAAGCAGTGTGTCAAAATGGCAGATGACAGGAAGCGGGGACAAGTGCTGAGTTAAAGGGGAGGTCAGGGAAGAGGAGAAATGGGGGATTGTCTACCTTGAGGATTCTCTGGTGAGCAGGAAGGCCTGAGAGTTTTCCAGAGGTTTTACTAAAAGGGTTACTTACTGATGTGGTTTCTTGACTCTTACATCTTTTGAATCCCATTCTCTGAGTTCATATGTACAAAGTGGAAACTCGTGAGTCCCCCTGCTGTGAGTGGTGTTTACATGTTTTTTATATTAGCTACCAACATTTCATAATGGAGGAATTCCTATGAAGGTCTGGATTTCCTGCATTTCCTAAAAAATCAAGAGATCAAGCTTAGATCCATGTCTCTGCAGTGCAAACTCTGGTTGGAGTCAGCTAACACTGATCTGCCTCAACATTGCCCTCTACCTCACCCCCCAAATATCTGGGTTACTGCTCTATTGCATGTGATTCTTAATCCTGGTTTTTTTGGAATACAGGAGATTTATGCCTAAAATCTCATCTGCCCAGCCATCTTTTTGAAAAACCACCTTCTTCAAGCATGATTGACATACAAAAAATTGTACATACTTAATATATACAACTTGATGAGTTTAGAGATTAGGCTATATCCACAATACCCTCACTACAATCTATAGCATAAACCTCTCCATCACCTCTCAAAGTTTCTTCCTCTTATTTTATTGTTTTATTTCATTTTATTATATTGATTTTTATTATTCTATTATTTTACTATATTATTATTGTATTTTCTATTTCATTATTCTGCTATTTTTTATTTCTTTTATAATAATATGTTATTATTATATCACTCTGTTAAAACACTTGTGGGAATACTGTTAACAAATCTT